CTCCTCAAATTGTGTTTCTTATCTTTTAATATGCCTTGAAGTTTTAGGTTTTTGTTAAAAGGTAGACATGATATACTGGATAAAAGGAACTGTGGTAAATGGACTTGTAGTAGTGTAGTAGTGAGATTGGAGGGAAGAGAATATTTTATAATCCTATGATTAGGTCTCAGTAGTTTGATGAGTCTGTGTTCCTAGAATGTACATTTTACTAGTGCTTTTCATTGTGCATCTACCCTAAATGACACAAGATGGCTACAAGGGCCTGGAAGAGGGCATTTCTGTTACCCCAGAGAAGTTATTATCTAGTAAAACCCCAGCAGGTTAAGTTCTGGTTGACTGGTTTCTATTGAGGACAAACCTTGTTCAGAAGGAAATAATGCTCTGGCTATTCAAAATGATACCTATTACTCTCTCTCTCTGCCAGAATCATGAGGTAATTTTCTTACATATTCACTGTGAGAATCTCAGACCTCCTGGAGAAAAGTTTCAGAAACTGGAACTCCCTGATGACAGGGTCCTCTGGGAGTTCGTTGTTATTTTTAAGATTTATTTTATTTATTTATGCATAGAAGAAATGCGGTGTAGGCCAGAGGTGGGGGAGGTGAAAGTATTCACAATAGACAGAGTAGGAAGCAGAACAGGCAGATTTACTGAAATACACTGCTGAGGGGAGCAGTAGGCCAGACAGGAGAGGTCTGCTGCGCCATAAGTGGGTTAGCTCCCTGGCCAGAGATCAAACTCAAGCTGCAGTGGTATTAGTGCTGAGACTTAACCCTTATGCCCCCAGAGAGGCTCCCTCATCCCTTGGAGTTTTAATTCCCATTCAATACTTGTAAATTACCATTCAGGTTTTCCTAACCCAGCACTGATTCCCATGAAGGGAAAACATAATGTCCATTACCCACAGCAAACCAAACACTGTCAACTAGTAGCCTAATACACTTATATATTTGCTCTCACTATCTGAATTGCATATCTGCTCCTATAAAAAAAAGTGATTATTTGTATCTGCTTGTCTTTCCAATTTCTGGGATAGTAGTTTGCCCTATGACCTCACTTCTCTGATGGATATAAGAGTTGCTGGTTTTGTCAGTTCGTTCAGCTTTTTCCTTGTTGTTAAGATGGAATTGGTGACTATTAAGCTCCTTAAATTCCAGACTGGAAACTGAAAGTCCTCCAAGCAATTCTGCTTTCATAGTAATATTTTTTTGGCTTACATAGTATTTAAGTGATATAAGAATATCTATGTATAACTTAGTGTTAAGGAATTAACTTAGTAAATATGCAATTCAGATAATGAGAGCAAATATGTAAGTGTATTAGGCTACTGGTTGACAGTGTTTGTTTTGCTTTGGGTACTGGTAATTATGTTTTTACAAAAGGAATAGAAAGTGTTGATCAACTATCAAACTATTTAAATAGAAGATCCAGAGTCAGAAGCACCCAGTTAAGCTCTTCCCGAATTCTTAACTGAAAGAACCTGCAGAATGATAAATGTCTGTCATTTTAAACTACTAAACTTTGTGATGAAGTTACTATGCATAAATGATAATGAACACAGGCTATTTTCAGAGGCTTACTCTCCTCATATTGAAAGACCAGAGGTCAAGGGACCAGACATAATTATGCAGGTATACTCAAGCCTCTCCTCTTGTTTAGTCTGCTAATATCCACTCCCCAAAGCAGTTTTTTTTTTTTTAAGGTTTATTTATTTATGCATACAAGACCTGGGATACAGACCAGAGGTGTGTGTGGGGGGGAGAGGATTCACCAGAGGCAGAGTGGGGAACAGAACAGGCAGACTGACTGAAATACACTGCTTGAGGGGAGCAGTGGGCAAGTCAGGAGAGGTCTGCTGAGCCATGTGGGTCACCTCCCCAGCCGGGGATCGAACTTGAGTTGCAGTGGCTGCAGATAGCTTCACAGTGCCACATCTTAACCCCTTGCACCACCAGGGAGGCCCCAAAGCAGAGTTTTGATGAAACTCAACATCAATGGACAGAAAAATACTGCTCTGAGTAAGCTAAATAATTGCCACCCAAAGACATCAGGTTCTAATCTCTGGGAATTTATAATGAAAAGGGGGTCTTTGGCACATGTGATTAAATTAAGGATTTTGATGTGGGAAGATTATTCTGTATTATCAATATGGACTCCACATGCCATAACAAGTGTCCTTAAAAGAGAAAAGCAGAAAATGACTTGACACACACATAGAGAAGGTGATGAAGATGAGAACAGACTGGACTGGTGTGGCCACAAGCCAAGAAACACCAAAGAATACAGGCAGCCACCAAAAGATGGAAGAGACAAAAAGTAATTCTGTAGAGTCTCCTGCTGACATCCTTTGTATGGATTTCTTGCCTCTAGAACTTTGAGAATATAAACCTATGTTGTTTTGAACAATTAAGCTTTTGGTAATCTGTCACAGCAATCCTAGGAAATGAATGCATTCTGTCTTGAGATAGGAGAAGAAATTGAAACTGACTGAGCAACAATCTAATCTACCTTATCATTCTTTCCAAAAAATAACCAGAAAATCAAAGGAAAACATGCATTGATTCTACCATAAAACAAATATATGACTAAAAACATTCACTAGCAAATTGGTACATGTAACAAAAATGAAAAATACAGATTAATGCAGTAGAAAATATCAAAAATTTTCTTTTTAAAACTAAGAAACCAAAGTAGAAAGCTAAATATAATGTCAGAGAAGTGATAACAGAAAAAAAAAAAAAAAGATGATCCCTTTAAATATAGGGTAATAAAAGAATAAAATAAAAGCCAAAAATGAGTACATTAGAACAGACATGTTGAAGAAATAATGGCGAAAACCACACAAAATGAATATTTTTAAATCAAAGAAAATATGTAAAACAAAAAGTGATATAAAAATCCACTGTATTACAATTAGTATTTCTGAAGAGGAGTGTTAAAAATGCAATAGAAAAAAATCTATTGGTAATCTATTGGTAAATTAATTCTACTGGTAAATTATGAGAAAAAAATACATGCTGAAATGAAAGAAGATGTAACTCTATAAAGTGAAAGGACTTTGTATATTTTCAAAACAAATTATTTAACATCATGTTTTGTACTGGGAAAAGCTGCATGATTCTCAATATTTATAATAAATATGAAGACATCTTCAAACATGTCAATATACCTGTAAGAAACTGTTTGATAAAAATAATTCTATTTGTCAAATTGAGAGATGAATCCCTAATATTCTTTCCAACTATGTGATTCTGTAAATCATAATCTGATCCATCCCTAGGGCTGGAATGAAAACAGTTTCAAAAAATGTGATTGGCATTCATGTACTTCTATGTTAAATATATCTATAAAATGCACTGAAGTCAAGTCAGTATTAATGGTGACTTCTACAGGAGTTAAACTTTTAAGTGTATAGTAATATCTTTGTGTACTGTGTCAAGCATTTGAACAAACAAATCAACTGACATAACATCTTCTTTGTACCAAAGAATACACCATTCAAATATTCACATGTCACACAATGGTTAGAATGCTCCAAGAAATGGGTACTAATTCTGTGACATACTTTCATGAAATATTTTTGGTAAATTGGAAATTATCATGAGATAAACTGCATATTTGTCCATCTTTTTTTTGGGGGGGGCAGGACAAAAATGAAATGCTTTTTGTTTTATCAAACTAAAAAATATATATACTTCATTGTCCTTCTTGGGATTAAATGGAAGTTAGCAAGACAATTATGGAATAGGCAAATATTATTTCTCCATCTGCTTTTCAGCAATGAATATAATGGCAACATAAGGTAGTTATAAAAAATAATTTGTGATATTTGTTATATGATGGAGGTACTTGGCAACACAAATCTTCGATTTACAAAGATCAGAAGTGATATAAATTTGTCCAAGGGATATAATATCTACCCCCTTGATATTAAATGACATGAGAAACTGGGACTCTGTTTTCTTATCTTTCTTTTCCCATAGGGCTTGGCAGAGGACCTTGCACATTGGCCCATAGTAAGTGCTGAATGGTTAAATGAATGTTTTCAGACACTAATTCCTTCAGGTAAACAGTATATGCATTTAGGTCAGGATAAACCCTGAGATCATTTATGTTTTTCACAGGTGACAAACACTTTCCTCAAGGGCAGATGAAGATTAGAAACACATGACTAAATCCTATCATTACTCTGTCCCTTATCCCCATTCTTTGTTGACATCATATAGTCTAAAATTCTTGAAGTCCTTCTAGAACCTCTGATAGCATGGAATTGCTTATTCGTTAGACAGAAATAGAATGACCTTGTGCATTAGAGAATCTGAATCCTTGAGAACTTCTTCCTAACAGGTCAACTAAATGAAGTAATCCCCACCTGAATCGTTGAAAATGAACAGAATTCCATAGAAATGAAAAATAAGCATTTTCCTGCCTGACCTTCCATTCTTACATTTTGATACACACACTTTCAATCCCATTGTTTCTCAGCAAAATAGTGCCTCAAACATCCAGACAAATAAATTGTTAAAGAAGTTGTAGAATGAAAAATTTGAACTTTACTCTGTCAAAAGGCTTTCCCTCATTCTAGTATATTCCCTTTGTCGCTATGTGTTTGTGGCAGAAAATTGGACGAAATAACCTCTTAAAAATGCATCTCATCTTTATGATTTCAAAATGTATAATGCCTTGTCTATATAACTTCTAAAATAGGTACTTTTTATTTTCTCAAATAAGCCAGATTCTGTCAAGGATTTCTAGGTTTAAATCATGGAGTCTCAGAGAGAAAGGGACTCTAAATATGTAAGGATTTGTGTATAGACTTGTTTATACTTCAAGCACAGCAAACTTTTTTTCATGCCTAGCCAGCTGAGCCAGGTTAAAGTTATTTTTCTTAAAATGCACATACAAATACCAAGTATTATAATAATATTGTTATTTTTGTAATTACTACATATTAGAAAAGTCCCCAGTTTAACCATATTATTTTATATTGTTTATTACAGGACAGCATGCTAGAAATTGATAGCAATTGCCTGAATAATGATTCTAACTTTTTTAAAAAACATTCATGTGATGATAATAAGGTAATGATAATTGTTTGGAGTTTATATGTCATTTGAGCTTGATTTCATAGAAGTGTATATTTGTATCTGTTACATAATTATATTGATTATATTGCTAACCTACTGTTTTAGTTCTAGCTAGACAATTCCCAATGATCTATTAATTTACACTATGGTCTTCTTTTATACTTTCATTTTACAAATAGCCCTAGGTTTGATAGTCTATTTTAGCATTTTATTTTTTACCTTGAAACTATTAATATAACTGCTGAATTCAAAGACCACATATCTATTATTTTTGAAATTCTTATGTAGGAAAAATGCTTGTTAGAGTGATTGCTTGCTCGCACATAAACGTAAGTTATGGACATAACTGAGTTGTAGGTACTTTGAAAGTTTTTTTTTCACTGTTTGCTTATCTTCAAACCACTACCACTTCTAATTGGTGCACTTTACAAAACAGTAGATTACAGAGTTAACCTCATGGCATCTTATAGTATATCCACATAAATTTTTTACATTTTTTAATTTAAATTGTTGAAAAACATGTGAATATAGCCTTTCACTTGCACACTGTCAGTTATTCATCCATGGCTTAAAAAATACAAAAATAATAATAAATCAAATTACACATACCTTTCATTACTGTTGATTCCAGAAGTCCTTTCCTTTGGTTATCTTGTTTAAAATTGAATAAGCTTGTCATGTGTTCACCCATAAGTGATAAGATCGTGCATATGTACCAGAGAAAAGCTATTTTAAAAGTCAGATAATCATTAAACCATGTTCTAGGCACTTGGTGCTTTCACCTAGGAACTAAATGGGTGCAATCTAGTTACTTGTTAGTCATGTGATTAACTGGAACAGAAAGCTGGGGTGGAGGTGGGGCATTATTTAGCAATGCAGCTCTGACTTTAGACTTCTTAATAAGAAAGCTTATCATTTCTTACTATTTTATTTGAACCATAGCTCATCTGACTTTTTCCTGTAATAGGAAGCTACGTTTCTAAATCGTGCTGCTCGGAAGTTGAAGCAATTGCCTAAAATAAATGACGACGAGGATTTCCAAGTCCATTTATCAAGAGTTTCACAAGGCACATTAAAACTGTTGAACTGCACCAAGGTATGCTGAGGACCGTTTACTGTTTTTCTTTTGTTTTATTTCACTTACGTTTCCCTCCTTCCTCCTATACTTCCTCCCTCCTTCCTTTTCACTGTATTTTTAATCGAACAGTTTACAAAAGTGAAGTGATTCAGAGGTAAGCTGAGGAATGCTTCCTTTGTTTTCGTTTTGTTTAATTTACATGTCTTCCCTCCCGCCCTTCCATTGTATATTGTTATTGAGATAAAGTTGTTTTATGATACTGTGTATGCTTCAGAGTTACAGGTTCACACCTCTTCAATTATATGTCACCACACCACTGCCACCCCAAAGCACCCATAATCTTCCACCATAGTCCATTGGGCCCCCTTCCCTTTTTGATCCCCATGCTCACCCCAAACCCTAGAAATCTGACTGCAGAATTGAGGCTATGGGAGAGGGAAGATGGTGGTGGGAAGAGAACTAGTTTGAACAAAAATACAAACTGCTGTCTTATAGTACACTACTGTTCTCTGAGATCATCTCCATTATCATAGACTTCTAATTTCTTACTGTAATTTAAAGTTGAAATACCTTCACTCACCTCTAGAAGAGTAATGTCTTCTCTTGAAGTGTACCCATTCATGTTTTTGCTAAGGGAAATAAACAGTTTATGAAAAAGAAGTAAAAACAAATGAGTACATATTTCTTTGTGGATAACAGCTTTCAAGGAGTCTATTGTGATAAGGGGGGGGAATAAATTTTTATCTCTTTATAATTTATATATGTATTTATAAGAACTCAAGACAATAAAACAGGTAATCAAGTATATTTAACAACTATGTATGTTAAAAGTCGGTGTGCTTGTGTTTATCCTACAGTTAATTTATTTTTTTGTTTTAGTATTCTTTATACATAAATATAATCTTTATACAGATTTTTTTCTCTACTTCTTTGCTAGCTGTTTTTAACTGAAAATAAAGTCTCAACAATAGTTAGACAAAGAGTTTATTAGATAATAAAAGTGTGGATTATGGCCCAGGAAGCAGTTCAACAGATTTACTCTGTGAGAACTGTCACAATAAATGTAAGTCTGAATTTAGTTGATGTAGGTAGGAATCAGTGAATCATTGACATTAAGTATATAATTATTCTTGATAGAAGCGGCTTATAATCTAAATTGTATTGACCTAAAGATATACTGATGTTATAGGAAAGCAATGCAAGATTTAATTTTTTTTTCCCTTGCTAATGCATTCACTGTAGAGATGCAAAGTAGGGTACCCATTGTTAAACCTTTTTTTTTTTTAAGCTGAAACTGATTTTTATTATTGGACAGCAAATTTCTGCATATGGAATGGAGGCTGTGAAGATAATTTTGCTCTTTTACCTGGTATATCAGGGGTGGGATCCCAGAAAATTTTTCAATGTGTTTACATAATTATGAAATGTGAATAACAAAACAAAATTTGAAAGACATCATTTGAAGACTAGACAACAGTTTCTCCATTGACAAAATGGAGTAAAATCATAATCATAGTATTATAAACATTGTAGGATATTGAAATATCATAAATGTTATAATTTATGTAAAATGGTTAGTTCTAAAATGATTTCTATAAATGCTATTATTAATACTGTTACTGTCCACCTTCAAAGATTTACTGGGTGCCACCTAAAACAAAAATTTTTTTATGCATTTTAAAAGAAATCTTTAACATTTTTATGTTGGAAAAGTGATTTTGTTTTTTAATGCCAATAATTGTCCACAGAGGTAAAATGATAAGATTATCTTTGAGCCCTGTTGGCCATGATGAAAACAAAGATAATAGAAATTGGACCACATTATTAACCTTACATTATCTATTTGATACCAGTCAGTCTCTTGGGGTCCTGGATTATTTCCATATTTAGATAACTAGTCCTTTATATGACCTTTCTGTTTATCACTTTTCTATAATTCTGATCTATCCTGTTCTATGCATTTTTCATAGTCAAGTTCAAGACTCATGAAGATTTCATATTCTAGCCTATCACCTAAAGTATACAAAAGTGATCTTAAAATAATCCTTATTTATAGCTAATGCAGAAAGGCGGATAGTTTTCATGTTACTTATATACATCCAGTTGCTTAGAATTGTTGGAAACACTATGTTGAGTATAAGCCTCAAGTCAGGGCTCAATTGAAAAGATTGCAGAATGACCTCCTGGCTTATGAAGGGGTAAGAGTTATAGGTTTGGTATATACTTTCCATTACTTCTCTCAAGTGTTGTGATTTGTATGGATTTGTATGATTTGTATGGATCATCATGTTCCAAAATAAACTAATTGTAGAGAAAGAAAAAAAAAAAACACTAATCATCGGATCTTGAAATTAAATAAAAATTGTTACAAAATTAGCTAATGTGATAGAGTCTACCTTTTTCTTGAAATGATAAATCAAGATATTAAAGACAGTCAGCTATACTGAATTTTCTTCATAAACCAGGCATGCTACTAGCCTTTTACTGTTGTTTGCTTCTGATGAATAAAACTTAACAGAATTTATTTTTAGGATTTTTAAGAGCTTAATGTTAACTCAATTTTCAATGTTGATTTAAAGTCTAGTTTTGTCCTGATTAGAATAGAGTTTCATACTTCATAGTAATTAATACATTGCTGGGCATACCTGCAAAATTTACATATCAGGAATATTCAGAAAACTAACTTCTCTTGTTTCTTTCTTTTCCCTTATATTTGTACTCTGCCACATTGACAATGGAGAATTTAAAACAGATTCTCAAATATGTTACATGAACTGATAATAATGTGAAAATTAGTGACTACATTAAAGTGACATGCAAAAAAAGAGTAATATTCAATGTTTCAAATATGACTTTTTTTTTTAAGGTAAAAGGAAAAAAACTACCTTCGCAGGGTGAAGCCCAATCCACTAAGAATTTGGTGAGAGTAATTGTATAGCTTTCTTCTTTATCAGCTTTTTATACAACGAATTACTTAATGTTTTTCTCTTTGTTTTGTTTTTATGTTGGATTTTGAAAATATTCATTATAATGTTAACAAAAGGAGAAAGAAGGTATTACTTAGAAATTGGATCCTTTAAACTGCATTTTTCAATATAAAAAGAAAGCTAAGGAAAATAACAGAACACACATTTTTAAAATAAAAGCAATAAAAATAAAACATCGTTATGTAATAGGGAAAAATATGGACAAATATCATTTATATAGAAAACAAGTATATGAAGAAAGAAGTCCATCTGGCTAGATAGTAAACAAATCCAAAGTGAATCTATTTTCTATCTGTTTACTAGTATAGATACATCCTTATATCTTGTATCTATTTATATAGCAATTAGATAATATAAATGAATAAGTCAGAATACTTCATTAGGGGCCTCCCTGGTGGCGCAGGGTGTTAAGATGCAGTCTGTGAAGCTATCAGCAGCCACTGCAGCATGAGTTCAATCCCTGGCCAGAGAGCTACCCACATGGCACAGCAGACCCCCACTGCTCCCCTCAGCAATGTATTTCAGTTTATCTGCTGGTTCTGCACCCCACTCTGTTTCTGGTGAATCCTCTCACCCCTCACACCTCTGTCCTGCACCCCAGTTCTTATATGCAGAAATAAATAAATCTTCAAAAAAAAAGAATACTTGATTAGTCTGATTAAGTATTTAAAATGACATATTAACTAGGATGAGACATGGAAAATAATGCATCATGTTATGAGAGTGATTGGTTCCTTCACACTTTTAAGTATTATAAAGATTTATTAATTTATGCATACAAGAACTGGGGTACAGGTCAGAGTTGCGGGGTGGGGGTAAGCGGATACACCAGACAGAGTGGGGAGCAGAACAGGCAGACTGACTGAAATACACTGCTGAGGGGAGCAGTGGGCAAGTCAGGAGAGTTCTGCTGCACCATGTGTGTTGCTCCCTGGCGGTGGACCGAACCTGTGCTACAGTGGCTGCTGATAACTTCACAGTGTCATGCTTAACCCCGTGTGCCACCAGGAGGACCCATAAGTATTATAATGCTGTTTGGCCAATCAGTGTATGGGAGCATGGATATTCCTTACTGCTCTTAGAGAAGCAGGATGAGTCTCAACATGTGAGGCTCAGTGAACCATTCAGATTCCACCTGAAGTAGAAGAGGTGAAAGTAGAAAGAGGTGAAATACACGAGAAATATAAATACATTGAGCGCTCTGCTGAGAAAATGTAGAAAAGAAATTTAGAAAAGCAAGATAACTTTTATGTTCCCAAGGATTATGAGGTAAATCATGGCTATTTTTGTCTTTTCGGTACATGCTCAGTCTTGGACTGTCAGGAAATGTCATGAAGTTTTCACTTCTATGTATTTCAAATCTGCTTAGTCAAGTACACTTTGATTTTGACTTTTGAAATATGTCTGAGGCTTTTATTAAAAAAAAGAAATGAGAAATTCTCCTTCAAATTTATCTTTGAAATTTATTGTTTAATCTTTTAAATGTATTATTTAAAGGATATGTGTTATTACTAATACCTGGATAAATGGCAGCTTATCCTCTTTCCAGCTCAGCTTCCTCATATGAAAAAATGAGATGAAATGATCAATTTCATTGAATTTTTAGATAAAAATGGAGTCTGTGCACATTACCAGACCTAGAAAACACCCAATAATTGCTAGTTATCGAAATGAAGAATTGCTCAACTCAGTGATTATTTCATTTTCCAGATCGGAGGGTTTATATACTCCCTTATATGTCTATTCCATGTGAAGTATCTCTTTCTCCACTTTCTGCGGTAGGCTTTTTAAAGATTCTCATAAGGGCCAGCAAGCTAGTTTATGAGGTGGTATCTTCCATGCTACCAAAATTTGCCAAAATAATCTGAATATTTTCATTGTTCATTATTCCTTTCACAGAAAATACCTTTTTCTATATTATAAACTTCAATTGAGTAATCTAGAAATCTCTTTCCCCCAAAAGTTTAAACAGCATTATAGCCACTGCCACAGTAGTGGAAATGGTAGCCATCTGACAACACTTCAATTAATCCTATATCTTAAACTACAACAACCTTGAATTTTTTATGTCAATTATCACCATTATAGTTAAAAATCATAGTTTAAAAAATATGATGGAAAATTCTTTTTCATTGCACAAATTTTCAATATAACTTATGATGATGGAAATTAAAGATTGAATATTGCAATATGCATCTTTATAAAAATGTGAACTTAATTTTTTTATATATATTTCTTTAGGATGAGAACAGACATTTAAAGGAACAGAATAAACAGAAGTGTTTCCTAAAGATCCTACTACAAAAGATAAAAACTTGTTGGAATAAAATTTTGAGGGAACACTAAAATGCACTGAAAATTATGGAGCAGCAATATTAAACCATGTGAACTTATATCCTCTAGGAATTTATCTGTTCATGCAATTTTGAGGGTAAGAATGGTTCCTACAAGTTACTGAATGCATCCTGATAAAAATGGCTAATAGCAATTGAAAAATCTACAATGTAATCTTGAAAGATGAACATAAAGAATGGAAATGGAATGCTGCAATCAACAAACTGTTTCATTGGTATGTGGACATACATTCATCGGTATTAATTCTGTGCTGATTTTTATAAGAAAATTCACTTAACATCATTTGCAATAATACTTAAACCTGTTTAAAGTTTTCAGGAAAATACATCAAATCTGTGAAGCATATAAAGGTACAAAGACTAAAAACTAAATTGCTAAGACTAGAAAGCAAATAATTGCTTTATTATCAAAATAATTTTGTGGCCCCACTATTCATCAATGAACTGAGATAAGAATGGAAATTGTCATCTTCTGTGCTGGAATGCTTTTAGAGTTAACAGGGAGATATGGATAATGACTATGAGAACAAGAGTCACATTCTTTCAAGAAGCAACAGCATAAAGGAGTCCAAGATACTTAAGACATATCAAGGGATATAATTAAACCTGATTGTATAACACAGTGCCTCTTAAATGGTATAGCAAATACTTTAAAATGAAGATAAGGAATCATTTCACTAAATAGAAAATCACTTCTTCTAAGGATGCGGAACCATAGTACTGAGTTACTTTTGTCATTTATGTATAATACAACTTGTCTAAATGAGTTTGCAATTTGGGAAGTATATTTTTCAGAGAATAATATATGATGGCTTTTTAATTAATGGAATGTATGTATTTAATATTGACACTATATCTGTATATAAAAATATTTTCATACAGTATTACAAATTGCTTACTTTGGATACTATTTCTCCTTTGATAATAAATGACCTATGTATAAACACTGTCAGATTCACTTAATCAATCCCAACTGGATTTTTCAGACAAACTTTTTAATACTGCATCATTATTTGATTTCTCACTTTCATTGAATGTGTGATTTTTTTTAATACCTTATTACCAAGAATCTACATAGGACCAGGGCCCCAAGGCTCTCAAAGAGCTGTAACACTACTTTATTTTCTATGTTTAATTTGAGACTTTAAACAAAAAAATTGATTATCTATACCAAACCCAGGTTTAAAAGGTCAGTAAATAGGTTTCACATTATTTATAAAGGGAAATGAAAACATTATTCCAGCCATGTTAGAGTCTTAAAACAGCTACCTGTTTGCAGATAGCTGAATCTACATCCTTTATGTTCTTTCACCACTTCATTGCCACACAGTTAAGTGCTGACTGACTTTATTTAATCACAGAAAACCTCAGGTGATTTGCAGCAACGTGATGGAGCTAGAAGGAATTATGCTCAGTGAAACAAGCCCAAAGGAAAAAGAAAAATATCACATGGTTTCACTTATAGCAGGAATACAGGAGAACCAAATAAGACATCAGTGTAAAAAAACAAAAACAGTACAAAACACAACAAAGCAACAACGGACAATTATAAATCAGAGACATACTGCAGGGGAGGAGGAGGGCGAGGGATCAGAGGGAGGGAGGGAGGAGCACAGGGCACTGTGGTGATGGTGCACGGGTGCATTGGTGAAGGAAACTCTATGGGGACTACACCTGAGGGGTTGGGGGGAAGCAAATATTGTTTAAAAATGAACAATGATGTAAAAAATAAAAATAATAATAAAAAATCCCTCAGGTGACATTCAATGTATGGTGATAAGATCATTCTCTCATTTTATGTGGCCCTCTGCCTCTTTCTGCTCCCCAGCCCACCTGGAGTTTATCCTCAGCAATACAGACAGCTGTATAGAATGTACAGACAGTGGTATAGTGGCGCAGGTGATTGAGCGCAGTGCTGTGAAGCTGTCCACAGCTTCTACAGCGCTGGTTCAATCCCCGCCGGCCGGCGAGGGTCCCACATGGTGCGCAGACCTCTCCTGTCTCGCCCGCTGCTCCCCTCAGCAGTGTATTTCAGTCAGTCTGCCTGTTCTGTTCCCGGCTCTGTCTCTGGTGAATCCTCTCACCCTCCTGCGCCTCTGGCCTGTACCCCGTTCTTTTATAAATAAATAAAGCTTAAAAAAAAAGAGGCTTTGAGTCAATGTAAGGTTTCTGTTTGGTTTTCATTACTGACTTCAAAAAAAAGGAGTTGACTAATACTTTTTAGGTGTAAATGATTCCTCACCGAGTTTTTTCTTTCTTCAAGTGGATTTTTCTTAGTAGACTGTGCTTCCTTCCACCCCAAAATATGGTCATCCGTGTGGTATACCTCCACTCTGATAAACTAGTGCTACTGTAAGTGCTCAAGGTACTTCCCCTGTGTGGGTTGTAACTGCACACCTCTAAAGTCTGGATGTTATTGTGGATGGGACTGTCAGTCCAGCTTAGCTGTGTTGGGGATCACTTCCAGTAAGCTGCAGGAAGTATTACAAGATAGTGGCTGCTAGCATTGGTATCAGCAAGGCTATGTAAGTTTGCCAATTCTGCCTGCCTTCCTCCTTCTTCCCTCCCTCCCCTTCTCTTTCTCTTACATATTTAAACCATGTTTAATTTTTATTTTATGCTTCATTAAGTAAAAAATTCACTTGTATTCCCTGGTTTCTTCAAATCATTTGTGAAAAACAGTTTAAAAGAGGGGCGGGGAAACCTATATTAAAATGTTCCTTGAGTGAAATTCAGGAAAATAAATCTTGTAAAATAATACTTAGAGATGACAGATACCATTTTAAACAAAGATTTTATAGAAATCAACTAGTTTAACCAGATCACAATGGCTATCATCTACATTTGTGAATGTTAGAACATAACTGAAGATGAGGTACAGATTTTAAATAAACTATTATGACATATAAGGGACTTTGAGAAATAGATAATTAAAAAATTATAAAGTAATATATATTTACTAAAGTTGACAATATAAAAATGACAAAGAAATAACATCAAAACTCCTTCCATTAGAAATAAGTATAATACATTGAGGAGTATACTGTAAGCCTTTTTATCTATGGACATTTTTACATAATTAGAATCATATTTTATAGGCATGTACTATTTTAGGCTAGCTTTTTGTCTTAGTAATAAAAACTAACCTTGTAAAGCCATTTAAACTTATTTGAAAGTCCTTTAACTATTAACTTACTAAATTATTGAATTGTTATCACTATAAATAGCACCACTATATGCATTCTTCATAATTTGTCTGTACTTCATACTATGCCCTCAAGAAGAAGTGCATCTTAAAAATAAAATTAAGAGGTTATGATGCATGGATATTTTAAAGACTTTTTTTAAGATTTATTTATTTATACATACAAGAACTGGGGTACAGGCCAGAGGTGTGGGGAGGAGGGTGAGAGGATTCACCAGAGACAGAGTGGGGAACAAAACAGGCAGCCTCACTAAAATACACTGCTGAGGGGAGCAGTGGGAGAGACAGGAGAGGTCTGCTGCACCATGTGGGCAGCTCCCTGGCCGGCCTGGGATTGAACTCGTGCTGCAAAGGCTATGGATAGCTTCATAGTGCTCTTCTTAACTTCTTGGGTCACCAGGGAGGCCCTTAAAGACTTTTAAAGTAAATCATCAAATTTTTCAGTGTATTGTCTATTTATATTTCCTTTCTGTGAATTAGGGTATTCATTCCAACACCTCACACAGTATTATTACAATTCAAGGTAATAGATTTGATGAATTAAAATTAGCATTTCATTGTTGAGTACACTCACCACTACTCAGCATTGTTTCCAACCTCCTAACCCAGTCTTTTACAAATTCATAATAGGTATAGAACCTAAGAGCTTGGGCAAACAGAGAAAAAGGGAAAGTGAAAGTGAAGAGAGTTATTTTTTATGTAAGATAAGATTGAACAGATGTGATAAAGTAAATTTTTCAACATCTGATTTCCTCAGTCCTTAGAACAAAGTAGTCTACATTTTACTGCTCCCAGGGACCCCAACACACACACACATCCTTTCTAAGGTCACTTGCCTTTTCCACACTAATGGTAATGCAGTTCTTGCTCTCATTATGTCAGGTTTCCTAAACCTTGAGAAAGATTTAAAAAAATGAAAATAAGAAATGGTCATTGTATAAGTTGTGGTGATAAACTCTGCATCTAGTACTTCACAGCATTTTGTTGGAATCTGTGTAATAAAGGTCCATTAAAATAAGTCTTGCTTGGAGTCTGAAAGATGATGTCAGAGTAAAGATGCCAGGCTCACCTCCATATATTTACAACTATATTGTAATTGAACCAAGTAACAATCCCTGAAATATGAATAGATGAGTACAGGATACACCAGGAGCAATGGTCTGGTAGAAAGGGGTACGAAAAACTTTAATTGAACCGTGTAGTAATGAGGGCAATCTAACTAACAAAAGGGAAGGGCAGCTGCTCTAAGGAGCTTATCCTATTGTTGATTTGGGCACATGCCCACCTGGGGGAATTTGGAGATCTGTCACTGTGCTGGATAAGAGGATATATGAGTTGACATCTAAAACAGAGGTGTGTATGACTGGGGAAGCTATAGAAGCAGGGATGTAGAATGAGGATTACTGACTTGAATCTGAGTTTCCAAATATATAAAATTGATCATGAAATGGCCTCTTCTATGAAGAGACTCAGGCAGCAATGTGAAAGTCTATCCCTATTACAGTTCATAAAAACTAAGAATGGAGAGAAGAACGTATCATAAATGCTAGGGCAAAACAACAACAATAAAACAAACAAAATACCCAGAGAAGTCTAAATTAAAAAATGCAAGGAGGCATCAGCAGCAAACAAATGGAAACAATGGAGAGAATTAGTGACCTTGACAGCACAATATCAGAAAACATAGACAACAAAGAGGAAAAAAATTACATAGATGAAAATATAAATAAAAAATAAAAAGGAAGATAATGTAAGAGCCCACTGGGGTGATCTAAAGAGAAAGAAAATCCCTATTACAGGGGTCTCAGTAGGTGAGACAAAGAGAAAGACATAAAAATGTTTTTATAAAAATAGTCACTGATAACCAACTCAAACTAAAAGACAAACTAGATTTATTGAACTAGAGGTCTAAAGAGTTCCAAGCACTGTAATACCTGAGAGACACACTCTAAGGCACATTTCAAAGTGTTGAAAGTCAAAGTAAAAGAATATTAAAAACATCATGAGGAATAAATAGATAATCTATAAGGGAACATCAGTCAGCCTATCCAAGGTAAATTGGGAAAGTCAGGTGATAAAATTAATCAAAGAAAAAGGTTTCCAGCTTAGAATACTTTATCCTTTAAGATTATCATTCAAGACAGAAGGAAGACTAAGGAGCTTCACTGAAAATTGAAGGAATTTATCAAAACCAAGCCAGACATGAAAGATATAAAGAGCTATTATAAAGCAGAAAATAAACAAATAAACAAACAAACAAAGCCTCCTAGGGCCTCCCTGGTGGTGCAAGGAAATGTTTAAGCACAGCACTATGAAGTGATCCACAGCCTCTACAGCAGGAGTTCAATCTTCTGGCAGGCCAGGGAGCAACCCACATGGCGAGGCAGACTTCTCCTGTTTTGCCCGCTGCTTCCCTCATAGTGTATTTCAGTCAGTCTGCCTGTTCTGTTCCCCACTCTGTCTCTGGTGAATCCTCTCATGCCCGCCCCCCGCCACACACACCTCTGGCCCATACCCCAGTTCTTGAATGCATAAATAAATAAATCTTAAAAAAAAAAACCCACAAATATAGAGGTAACAGACACCTAAATTACATAACATGGAGAGAAGAGTAACAGAGTAGTCAGTCAGAACAAGTTTAAGATCAGACCTTCCAATGAGCTATAAAAATAATCCATCATATAATTAACCTTAGTAGTAAAACATTCAAACAAAAATCAATGGAAGTAACACATAAGACAATGTAAATGAAAGCTAAACAAAACATAAAAGGAATATGTCAAAAAAAAAAACAAAGATAAACTAAAAAGACAAGAAATAATAAAATGGTAATTAGCACTTATATCAATAATCACTTAAATGTAAAATGGCCTGATTTCAAGTTAAAAGACATACAGTTACTGAATAGATTTCAAAACAAGTCCAATCTTCTATTTATAGGAAACCTACCTTACCACTAAGGACAGGTACAGACTTAAAATTAAAAGCTAAATGACAATGCTACAAGCAAATGATAATCAAAAAGTAAAGATCAGTTATAATTACAGTAGATAAAACGGACTTTCAATTTAAAAGGGTAATAAGAGATAGAGACAAACTTTATATTATGATTAAGGGTACAATACAACAAAAAGAAACAACACTCATATATGCAATGAATAATGTAGCACTAAGATATATAAGACAATTAATAAGAGTGAAAGATAATGACAAACAGTAGTACTAGAAGAATTTCATACTCCATTTACAACTATAGACAGGTAAACAAGTCAGAGAATTAAAAAAGCAAACAATAGCCTTAAAAAAGGAATTAAACCAAATAGGCTTAAAAGATATCTACAGAACATTCTACCCCAAAAGTGTTGTATATCCATTATTTTCAACTGCATCTGGAACCATTATTAGAGCATATATTGGGATACAATAGTCAACTATCAACAAAATTTTGAAGATCAAAATCATACCAAGTACTCTTTCTGATCATCAAGCCATAAAGCTGGAAATCAATTATATTTTAAAAACTACAAGTGCATGGAGACTAATCAATAATATTGCTTAATAGCTATCATATTAAAGATGAACTTAAAAGAGAAATCAAAAATCATCTTGAAACTTATAGAAACAAGGGTAAATCTACCAGCATTCATGGAATGCAGCATAAACAGTCTAAAGAGAAAGATAATTTCAGTACAGATCCACACTAAGAGGCAAGAATAACCCTGAACAAACAATTTAATACTACATCTAAAGAAAGTTGAAATATAGGAACAAACAAGACACAATGTCAGTAGAATGAAGAAAATAATAAGGGAAGAAAAACAAAAAGAAATAAATGAAATAGACATCAAAAAGACTACACAAAGATCAATAAAATGAAGTCCTTTAAGAAAAAAAAAAACCATCTAGGTAGTCTAACAAAGGAAAAGAGAAAATATTAATAAACAGAATCAGAAAGCAAAAAGAGAAATCACTACAGATGGCATAAAAACACAAAGATAATAAGAGATTACTAAGAGTTACATACCAATAAATTTGATAACCTTGAAGAAACTGACAAATTTATACATTTATATAGTTTGCCAAGACTAAACCAAGAAGAAACATAAGAGTTGAATATACCAATTGTAAGTACGGACATAGAATCAACAATAAAAATGTTCCCCAAAACAAGAGCCTATTGCAGATAGCATTACAAATATTTTATCAAACCTTTGGAGAACTTATAACCATCTCACTCAATTGTTTCTAAAAATCCCATACATAGGGCCTCCCTGGTGGTGCAGGGGGTTGAGTGCAGCACTGTGAGGCTGTCTGCGGCCTTTGAGGCGTGAGTTCAATCCCGGGCCGGCTGGGGAGCAACCCACGTGGTGCAGCAGTCCTCTCCTGTCTCGCCCAATGCTCCCCTCAGCAGTGTACATCTGCCTCTCTGGTGAATCTTCTTACCCCCCTCCCCTCTTCATGACTCTGGCCTGTACCCCCACTTCTAAAAAATAAATAAAAATAAAAATCCCATACATATCAATACTTAATTTATGGTAAGGGAGCCACAATCTTACAATGGGGAAAGGAGAATCTCCTCGATGGTGTTGGAAAACTGAAAGAATGCAGCTGAGTCACTCTCTAGCCCCATATACAAGAACAAGTTCAAAATGGATTAAGTATTTAGATATGACTTCCAACAATACTTAGAAGAAAACATAGGTGACATGTTCCATGACATCCACGATAAAGATGCTTTTAGAGACTTGACCCCTATGGCAAGGATAATAAAATCAAAAATAAACAATTGTGATTACCTCTAATTAAATTTTTTGGGAAAACTAAAATTTAGGAGATTAAAAAGACATTCTACTGAGTGGGAGAAGATATTTACACATAACCAACAAGGTATTAGTATCTAAGATTAAAAAAAAAAATCTTATTCAATAGAACAACCCAGTTAATAAATGGGCAGCAGATCTAAACAGATAAGTCACCAAATACATCAAAGAAGATATCCAGAAGACAAATAGATATATGGCAAAATGTTCATCATCACTTCCAATGAGTTAGATGAAGATTAAACCACAATGAGTTATTATCTCAGACTTGTAAGATTGGCCCATATTAAAAAAGACTCCCAAAAAGTACTTGAGAGGTTGTGAAGTAAGAGGATCCCTACTGCATTGTAGGTAGGTATATAACTGGTGAAGCCATTATGGACAGAGATCTGGACTTGCCATAATAAGCTAAAACTGGAAATACTAGATAAGCCAGCTGTCCCATTCTTAAACATATATATGAACAGAACACCATCAACTTAAAAAAGCATATACTTGACAATGTTTATTGCAGCACTATTTACAACAGATAGGATGTGGAAACTACCTTAGTGCCCACTGAGAAAGGTTTGGATGAAGAAGTGGTATGTCCAATCAATGGGATATTTCAGGTGTAAGGAAAGACAAAATGTTGGCATTTACGACAAAATGGAAGAAGTCTGGGGAAGTTATGTATGTGTTAGCAAGACAGAAAGACAAATATTGGACATTTACATAGCAGATGATACTATAAAGCAAAGTACTTATGAAAGCAAGTGGTCACTAATAAACATCTTGAGGTTTCTGAGGAGAGAAAGATTTAAAGGGGTAAAAGATGATGGTAGGGAAAGAAAAAAAATAAAATGAATCTCTTTGTCCTAAGTTTTGTTTGTTTATATATCAACTTCTCCAAATACATCACTTTGGGGGCAGAAACTTAATTACATTGCATCATTTCTCTTGATTCCTAGCATCTTACAGAAGTAAAACACAAAATGAAGTATCCCTAAATAGATGTCAATCTCATATGTTAGGCTAAATGGCTGATAAAAATGTATTTATTATAAAAGATGATAACTGTTGTATAACTAAGAGCAAATATTAAAGCTGTAGTACAAGGAGTACTTGGTAATGCGTATGACTATCATGTCTGGGATGCAAAACCTTGCTAACAAGATATTGTGAGGTATAAATATTTCTATCAATACCACTCTGGTACACAAAATGAGCTTGACTGTTTTTGAAAAGCCAACCTGTGTATTACTAAAATCACAGTAAAACAAAAACTACCTCTTATGAATCATGGTAATTTCATGTTATCAAAAAAAAAAAAAAAATCATTCCCTTTTTACTGTGGAGCCTTTAAAATAACAATTGCAGTGTGGTAATATTATCCAAAAGCACCCTCTAGTGGCAAAAAAGCAATTCACTGTAAGTCAAGCAAAGTTGTACACAAGTATACTGACAATATTTACTGAACATTTTATAAATAAAAATAAAGTGTATGTGCTTATCATTTGTTTTATTTCAATTATTTTCCACTGCTTTATTTAATACTATTGTCAACCACAAAACCAGCCTTAGTACTATAAATATACTTACCATATAAAATACATACACCTGCAATGCAAATAATTCCTGAAATCTGCTGACTCTTTGTAGCTGTGAATCTCTCCTATTATTTTTTCATTCCCTGAGTTTCTACTAGTGGTAGAAGAGTTCATCTCTAGCCTAAGGAAAATCGAGTACCAAATGAACATGCTCAAGCTCCATGCATTTACTACAAACAGTTCCTGTTTAAAATTTTAAAGATGATGGCTTATGTCATTAGGTATTCATAAATACTTTTTGCCATTAAGCTGTATATCACGTAGCTACAAATACACTTGATGTTTCTTCTCAATCTTGACTTCATTAATGTTTTCATTTGCTAAATTTTAGTGGCTATGTAAAGAATGTTTCTATACCTCAAAAGTCTTGTGCTGAAACATATTTCTAATAATTTAAAGTCACAAAACATTCTGATAAGATAGTAATTGTTTTTTTAAAAGTCAATGGCATAAAAAAAGACTGCCAATGAAAGGTTTTTCTCATCAAAAACTTTGTACTTTATCTTTACATTTTATTTGTCTTTCAGTGTTCTTATCTACCTATGTCTCAATGAAAAGACAGTGATAAAAACCAATTAGCATTTTTTTGCTTCATGTCTTTATTGAATAGGTTCAAAGATGAGACATTATTTGTAATAAAACAGTGAACAAGACACAACAGCAGCCATAATCATCTTACTTTTGCAAGCTAATAACTTTCAGAATACAAGAGCAATTTTTACATTTTAAATTTAAGCTTACAACCATTTCTTTATTCTATCAAACTGGCAAGTACTTGCGAAAATAAATAAAATTAAGATAAATGATGCATAGATTGAAGTTTTAATAAAAATGAAACTATTGCACAACAAACCAATGTGAGAACAATATATGACAGTGATATATGCACTTAAATACATTGTCACAATGTTTCATTATTCATAAATATATTTCTCCTACTTACTTTATAATAGCTGGACTCTGGAATTCGATGGTTTCTTACCAACTCATTCTCCATAAGGTACATTATACATTTAATTGAACCTATAAAATTCAGTGAGAAACAAACATGTGCCACTTTCTTTAAACTCATTTATCTATCCCTTCCTTAGGCAGATAAAAATTTTATGGTCTTAAAAAAATATTTGAAAGAAAATAATGTTTCTAAATAAAACAAGAGTTTAAAGTTCTTCATATGATATGTGTCGGATGAAGAACATAAGTGACTAAATTCATAATCTAATCCGTACATTATTATCCTGAATTTATTACAGCTTATTATAGATGATGCACTTTTTTCTAACCAATATGACTTTAAGACACCAAAAATTTTAAAAGCGAAGAAACTATAAGAAAATGACAATTATAATTTCCATGAAGTTTATATCCCTTTCCGAAACTGAAAAAGCAAAAAAACTAATGAAAATTTATAAAGTATAAAGATAGATAAGTTTCAAAAACAAATTCTAAGCCATTAATTTTTACGTTGATTCTTATAGATGATCCGAATCATAAACAAGAAGCTAGAAATTGCCTAAAATATAAGATTGAAACTCTGTTAGGTTTGATTCAACAGAAGTTACTACTGAATTACAGAATATGGTTGTGCAATCAGAGATCTACAAAAATGCTATGTTACACTGAGCTGATGATTAAAAGCTGTATTTCAAAGAGAAAATGATTTTTTTGTGTTTAAATACATTACAAATCAGTTATGCATTAAAACAATACATTTTTCCAGTGACTTTTTATAATGTGAAAGGTGTTTCATCATTAAACATTAAAAAGAAAATATGAGTAGGAAAAATTAAGATATCCTCTTAAGCTACTCTTAACTGTATCTAACTACATTTGAAATAGCTGAAATCTAAGCACTTTTACTTGCATGCCCTGAAGTAAGGATTAATTACCATAATTAATATTTATTAAATGAGGCAGCTTGTTTCAAAATCCAGTAAAACACTTGTTTCTAAATTCTAAATTCAGGTATATGGTAGTAAGATTTTTTTTTTTTTGCAAAGAATTATGTGCATCTTAAATAGCTTTATCTTCAACCTTTTCACAAATGAAACAGTAAACTGAAACTACTCTTAGATGTAGGATTATGGAGAAGAAAAAGATGAAATTGGAAGTAGAAAAATTATGTGGTCAACAAATATAAAGGTTTAAAAAATCATTCAGAACAAAAATAAGATACATTTATATTTTCAGTGTTGTATCTCTGAAAAGGAAATCGTATAATTACATTTCTGAAGAATGAGTAAAGATATTAAATTATATAATAATACAACAATTAGTTGGCAATGTCGACCTAAAAGCTTTTTCTCTTTTAAAAAAAAAAAAAACTGAATTGTTGAAGTGCTCTACAGCAAAATGATCTTATATAACTAATCATAACAAAAATACTCTCTTCCCATTCAGAGTTCCAAGTATCCCATCCTAGTATACGACCCGAATAGGCACCAATAGTAAAATATTTATTCTGATTTTTTCCTCAAAGTAATAATCATCATAAAGTTTGAAGGGTAAAAAGCATTAGGGTTTTAGAATTTGTGGCGGTATACTTAATGTGCTTTAACAACAGTAAAATAATATTGAAGTTAATGATTCCACAAAAAACTATTTTCTGACAGATAAGTGAATATTTCCTTGAATGGCACAGTTGGGTATCAGGTATTTTATTATATACAGTATATGTACACAAATATATACACACATACATTACATAGCCAAAGGATTATGCTCCAAAACCTGCTGAAAAAAGTATTTTGAAGAATTTTAGCATAAAATAACTAGAGGAAGTATTCTAGCTGTCTAAGCAGCAAGTCATAAACTCTGGACTTAGCTCTTTCTTTTAGGATTTTCCTCACAGAACCATTCTTCGAATACCACATTCACAGCAAAACTTTGCCCATTCCACAGGGTATTTAGTCCCACACTCATGGCAGAATTTTGGTAAGTGTCCAGAAGAATTTCCTTCAATGCCTTTAATAGTTCCACCATTGAGTGAAGATGTATAGTCTCCATCTGGCCTGAAGAACAGAAAAAAAAAGTAGAAACATAAAGTCTAAATCAGTAGTTTTCAACCTATAACCTTTAGGAAAAGAAGCATTCATATTAAGTATAACTAAAAACTTGCTTAATCTCATTTTCCCCCTCCTGCATAATCTCATTTTTAATACTCCTCTAGTTTTGGTTAAAAAAAAAATCTCTTTCAGTAATTATTGCATTTCTAAATGTTTGCTTTGGCATTATATTCATCCTTATTGGGAGAATTTTTCATGACCAGTGCATTCATGCTTACCCGCTGTTCTATGTAGTATGGTAACAGGATGGAAATTTATAGTATCCTTTCTGCAAAACCATTTATTAAAAGGAAACTGGAAATCTATCCTGAGGAAAGATAGAAGTCTCAGGTTCCAGACAGATCTTCTTTATCAGAAGGATTGTGGTATAATAATAACCATACTGTATTATTTCATTTTATTATTGATTCATTTTGATGTAATATTCAAGAATCCCCTCTATATACCCTAGCAAATCCGGTCTTAATAACAAAACATAGCAACGAGGGAAAAACAAAAATTACAAGAACTATACATATACACTGTAACAAAAGTGAAGAGCAAATTGTTTGTTGTTATAAGGATTTCATTACAGAAGGCAACCATTGGGAAAGTTCAGTTTCTACTCATGAAACTTTTTTTTAAAGATTTATTTATTTATTTATACAAGAACCGGGGTACAAACCAGATGCACGGGAGGGTGAGAGGGTTCACCAGAGACAGAGCAGAGAACTGAACAGGCAGATGGACTGAAATACACTGCTGAGGGGAGCAGCTGGCACCACAGGAGGGGTCTGCTGCACCATGTGGGACCCTCCCTGACCGAATGGGATCGAACCGGTGCTGCAGAGGCTGCAGGCAGCTTCACAGCATGGCGCTCAACCGCTTGTGCCACCTATGAAACATTATTTAACTGGAAGAATAGCTATTTGATTCTCCAAAGAACATTGTTATATTCTCTCCTGCATGTGTTCAGTCAGACATGATATTTAAGTCAATGTGAAGGGAAATCTTATTTGCTGATAGAATTATAAATATACCATTAAAAACAATTTTTTTTCCACCAGAAATAGCTATTGGAGAATTCAGAGATACTTCCCAATTTGAACACTTCTTTTATTTAAGTACTTTAAGTATAAAGAAACATTGAACTTTCTAATAAAATCCACCAGGGATCCATCTATCGATGCATCAGTAAATTGTAATATAAAAAACACAATGGGATATTGTTCAACAAACAGGAACAATGTTCTGACACATGACACAATTAGATGAACCTCAACAACACTGGTAGATTTAACAGTCATATATGATCCCTTTTATAAGATGTATCAGAATGCCAAGACCATAGAGGCAAAAAAACAGATCAGTGGTACCAAGGGATTGGGGTAAAAACTACATTTTCTGTTTATTGTTAATAGACTACAATAACTTTCAATATGCTGATCTCAAATGCAACAAATTCATTAAAAATACTTCATTATTATTTATTCATTGATTTGTCTACTGGGGACAGTCTATATAGAACATCAAGAGACAAATTAATGAATAAAAATATTATATTTACATGCAACATAAATATATATACAAATATATGATATAGTCATGTTACTCGTAAATAAATTTTATTTTATTTTTTTTTTAAAGATTTATTTATTTATTTATACAAGCACTGGGGGTACAGTCAGAAGTGCAGGAGAGTGAGAGAATTCACCAGAGCCAGAGCAGGTAGCAGAGCAGGCAGAAGGACCAAGGTACACTGCTGAGGGGAGCAGCGGGCGGCAGGAGAGGTCTGCGCGCCATGTGGGACCTCCGGTGGCCGGGGACCAGCCAGGGACCGAACCGGCGCTGTAGAGGCTGCACCCCAGCGCGACTGGGGAGGCCCTCGTAAATAAATTTTACATTTTATTTTCATCTTTCAATTTTAAATCCTTTTCCTTGTCTTACTATACTAGCTAGATTCTCTATTACAGTAGAAATGATTATATGACATTTTTGTGTTCCTGTGCATTTAGAGAATATGGTTCTTACATGTTATTTAATATGAGTCTGATACTATTTTAGTAATGACATTTTATCAGTTTAATTTTCTACAAATTTTTCTATTTTAATTTTTCTAAGACCATTTAAAAAATCTATCATGAATCTTATTTTTTTTCTGTATTTATCAATAGTGACAAATATTTTAAATCTCTTATCTATTGATGTGCTAAATTATACTGGTAGACTTTGTAATATTGAATCATCTCATTTTCTGGCTTAAATATAAAGTGTCCTGAGTCTCAAGTTGTTGAAACATTTTATTTTTTTTGTACTTTGTACTTTTTTTATTTAAATATTTTTTGTTTTCTTTTCTTTGATATATTTTTATATCATTTTTTATTTTTTGCACAATCTATGCATTTTCATCTTGGTTATATTCCCCATACAATTCCCATCCCCCTTATTTTGACCCTAATCCCTCCTCTCCTCCCTCCCCTCTACCCCCGTAGTGTGTCTCTGGTTTATAGTTGCTTGTTGATTTTGATTTTTACTTTATTATAATTAGTCTTTTTCCTGGTCCCTTATTTAGGTTTTCTAAATTCCTGCTATGAGTGAGACTATCCGGTATTTTTCTTTTTTCTTTCTGGCTTATTTTGCTGGGCATGATCCCTTCCAGCTCCATACATGTTGCTGCAAATTGCATGAGTTTATCTTTTTTGATTGCTAAGTAATATTCCATTGTGTATATGTACCACATCTTCTTGATCCAGTCATGCATTTTTGGGCATTTGGGATTGTTTCCATAGCTTACCTATTGCAAAGAGTGTTGCTATAAACATAGGGGTGCAGGTGCCCTTTTGAATTAATGCTTCTGTGCCCTCTAGGTAAATACCTAGGAGTGGAACTGCCGGATCATATGGAAGCTCCATCTTTAGCAGGTTGCGGTATCTCCACATAGCTTTCCATAGTGGCTGGACCAGTTTGCACTCCCACCAGCAGTGCAGGAGAGTTCCTTTTTCTCCACATCCTCGACAACATTTGTTGTAGCTAGTTTTCTTTAATATGTACCATTCTCACTGGTGTAAGGTGGTATCTCATTGTAGTTTTGATTTGCATTTCCCTGATTACAAGTGATGCTGAATATTTTTTCATATGCCTGTTGGCCATTGCATTTCCTCTTTGGAGAAGTTCCTTTTTAGCTCTTCTGCCCATTTTTTGACTGGATTATTTACTTTGTTTTTGTTGAGTCTCTTCAGCTCTTTGTACAAACATGCACTTACAGTCAGAAAGGGTGAAGAATTGACCGAAGTTGAGGAGAATGTTGTTTTTTGCCTTCCACCCCTCGAAAAGTTTGGTAGAACTTACCATGTAAAATTATCAGAAGCCCATTTTGCATGTTTGCACCTGTGTATGTGGGTGTGTGGTAGGAAGCAGGGGTAGTTTGGTTAGTGATTCAGATTTGATAAGGATTATAACTGTGCTTAATTTTCTAGTTTGTTTGAAATCATTTGCATGAGCTTCTTTTGAAGGAACTTTTACATTTCATGTAAAATGTATCTTATTTGTAGCATGGATTTATGCACCTCTTCTTAAATTTTTGGAATAAGCTGGGATATATTTAAAAATATCTTTAACAGACAAATTTATATGCTTATAACAAAAACAGACAATGTATTTAAATGTCAAAGTTGTGCAAATATTGTGACAGGTTTGAAAGGGATGTACAAGGATTATCATAACCCCAGTTGGGGGAGTTTAAATGCATTAGATGTATTAAAATCTTGCAGAAAATTACAATAACAATGATCTAAAGAGTCTATTATTCAATTTACAGAGAGTGAAAATAACTGTGCTGTAGTTAAGACATAAGAAACACAAATGCATCCAGTGGGAAATGAACAAATTTAGAGTAATAAAATTATAACTACAAGGTGCAGGAAAATATTTATGTCCAAACTATTTCTTTAGTGTACAACTTTAAAGTCAGATTAAGTCATATAACAAAGGAAAAATTAGCTTTATAATGTATATCCTGATATACTATTTATTGTATATCATCATTGGAAAACTATATATACTCAATTTTATTTTAGTTATTAGGATAGCAGAGCTAAACATACCTGGCTATGTAGCTCTCAGTATATGTTTTCCTTTTGCTTGTAAGCATACTTGAGGCAGGATTTCGTGCCAAACTAGGTGGTGTGGAATTGCGAGGTTTGAAGTTAGTTCTAGAAGTAAAGAAGAGACAGTATCATGAAAACTTATTGAAAAGTAAGCACTTAATTCTCAATTTTCTTATTTACCTAATTAGAAAAAACAGAAACTTTAGATAATTCAAAAGATGAAAGTTCAAATTTTTAGATCTGAAAATAACAGTGATTAATACTAAGAATAAACCAAAAGATTTTTGCATTTATTATCCTAATAGTATATAAAATGAACTAAAACATGTATATATATCTTACATGAAATCTCTAAGTTAATCATTCTGAAAGGTTAAGTTTCTAAAAGTATATTTATATTTTATAAATTTTTATTTTCATGTAGAAGAACTGGGGTGTGGGCCAGAAGTGTGGGGAGGAGGGTGAGCAGAGTCACCAGAAACAGAGTTGGGTGGAGAACAGGCAGATGTACTGAAATATACTGCTAAGAGGATCAGTGGGCAAGACAGAAGAGGTCTGCTGCACCATTATGTGGGTTAGCTCCCTGGCCAGGATTGAGCTCAGGTCATAAGGGTGATATCACTGAGTCTTAATCCTTAGGCCTCTAGGGAGGCCCTTAAAGTTTAAATCCAAAGGTCTCTCAAAAATAGGGATGGGTTTTGTTAAATACTTTGAATATTTGTATATTAAACGTAGGTGATACCTCTAAAAAAAGAATGAAACATAAATGACAATTTAAGAGGAGAATATTCAATTTATGCAAATCAGTTCCTAGCAATAGCAATTAAAATCAGTTAATATAATTTTCCATTTAAAGATTTCATTTCAGCAACTGGACTGAAATTTCATTACTGGGCTATGTGTATCAGTGGAGTTTGGATTAGATCATCTCTGAATTCCCTTTTGAAACTTCAGGATGCAAAGAAAGCTTAGAAGGCTAAATAATAGCTTAATGGTAAAAGATAGGCTTTGGGATTCAGATGAAAATGGATTCAAATCCCGAATGGTACTGATCAGCTTTGTGATAGTGCTTATATCCCCCATCCCTTACAAAATGTGACTAACGTTACCTATTTCATAAGAAGTTAAAAGATGTAAATTATAATTTAGCTAAATATTTAGGATCATGATGAAGCTAATACTATTAATACAACCATGGCTATTGCTACTGCTACAAATTAACATTTATATAATGGAGTTTTCTATATGCCAGTTATGTTTCTAATTGCCTTCATATGTAAATTTATTTAATTCTCAAAATAATCTATGAAGTAAGTACAGTTAATAACTCCATTTTACAAATGAGGCAAACAGTGATTACGAAATTTACCCAACATGACACAACTACTAAGTTGATGACTCAGGGGTCAGACGGTCAATAAAATGTTAGTTTCCTCCCCCTATTTAGAGATTTAGTCAGTTACTTTCATTTCATAATAAGCAATGTCATGTTGTATGAATAAGAATATTTCTTAAAATTCCTTTGAATCAAAATTTTTTAAACTTTGTCTGAAATTTTTCTTCCTCTACTTATCCAGCGAAGTTGAAGAGAGTTTCCTAAAATTTTAAAGTTACCCCCCCTAATGCAGGCAGGTAATAACAACATCTATTTCAAATGCCCACTGCATGCCAAATAATACACCAGGTAATAACCCTCTAGTGCCCTTGTAGGAATTCCTTTCTAAAATACCATTGCCAAAGAAAGTTTTTTCCTCCAGTGAGAGTTATAAAAGGAATTAGAAGGAGACATTTTTTCCCCCTCTGGAATCAAGTTTTATTAGAAATCTTATTGCCTTCATATAACATGCAAACAGTATATATAGATAATACAAGCACACCCATGCATACACACACACATATTCAACATAGGGGTAATTTAACACTAGAGGAAAAAATGAGATTACCAATAATAGGTACTATTATTAAATGTCTAGCATGTAGTTTCATTACATCTTCTTAGAGGCAGAATCTGTCAAGAGCAAATGACTGGGAAGATCTGTCTTGATTAGCATTTGGAATATGTTGTTCTCTCACATTATCAACACATTTTTCTTCCTGGCCAGCATCTTATAAGTGCTAACCCATTTCTATAACTGCACTCTGCCTACTACAGCCCAAAGAATAATAAAAGAAGGTTAAATTTTGGAATTGTACTTTATCTTACTATTAGTAATTATTTGATATCTGCTTCACAGGGTAGAGATAGCAAATGTACAAAGAAAAGTGGCTTCGGGCCTAAATCGTTCCTTCTAGGCTTTATCACTAAGAAGTTAAAAATTATGGTTGCCACTGATATCTTAAAGATTTATCCTTATTTCATTGTGTATCTGGTTAAATTTATTGCTACTTCTCATACATAGTAAGTAAAATATTACAGGAGGCCTTGGTTTAAAAGTTAACTAAGTGTGCTTACTAATACATTTTTAAACTCATGAGTAATTTAACTTATTAGATACTAATTTCACCACTTTAAAATATGAGGGCTAGATTTTGGATAGAGGCCTGAACTAGTAAACTTTAAAGACTTATAGGGAAGAGTTCCAAAATGATTACCATTGCCACACTCGTGTCTTCTCAGGTTGCTAGGCCAGTACAGACAGGGAGTGTACTTGGCAGTATCATACCTGTCCTCTGCTTTATGTGGAATATACAATCATCCAAGTAACTAAAAGACTTAGGATCTTGTGACTGTTTTCTAGGAACTTTTCCTCTGCCTTTTTATAATAATTCATCATATTTTCCTCTGCCTTTTTATAATAATTTATGAAAGATGATCTAGCAGTATTATTTGATATATATGGCACAATATTCCTTATACTCTTCCTTTTAAAATATAACTCCTAAAAAAAGATTTCATAAGAAAAACTTTGAAGATGACTATTTCTACTTTCCAAAAATTAAAACAATTGGAATAAAAAGTATGAACTAAAAACAGCATTTTTTTTTATTAGTTTTTTTTTTTTAGAGGCATATATTTTTATTTATTTATTTATTTGTTTGTTTGTTTATACAAGCACTGGGTACAGTCAGAAGCGTGGGAGGGTGAGAGAATTCACCAGAGCCAGAGCGGGGAGCAGAGCAGGCAGAAGGACCGAAGTACACTGCTGAGGGGAGCAGTGGGTGGCAGGAGAGGTCTGCGCACCATGTGGGACCCTCCTCGGGTGGCCGGGGAGCAGCCGGGGATCGATCCGGCGCCGCAGAGGCCACGAGGAGCTTCACAACCCAGCGCTCAACCGCTGCGCCACCGGGGAGGCCCTAAAAACAGCATTTTTTAAGGACTATAGAAATGTTCACCAAAAAATCAAAATGTGTTTAGTCCTAAAAGTTTATTCAGCATTTTTGGACCTAAAATGATTAAAATAAGATTTTTTTAAGTATGGAATGCACAAATTATAGTATTCCATTATATAAAGAGTGCAAGAAAATAAAAAGATCAACCAAACTGAGGTACAAATACTTACTTGTAAATGGGCAAGAACTCATGTCTTTTGATGGTACTGTCTGACTTTGTATCACTGTCATACAACCTTTGCACATGTCTTCCAGTACGAAGTGGAGGGCCTAACTTGTCCATCTTACTATTAAAATATATAAAGGTGTACCCATAAGGAGATTGCTACTGTTTGTTGCCTTACATAAAAATTTTTTGTAAAGTTGTTTTTCTGGTTCATCAGTAATCTAGCCCTCAAGTCATAATAATCTGACTGCCAAGGTAAAGATTAAAAGTCAAAAAGAGTGTTCACATACTTCATACAACATTATTAGAAATGAAAATTCTCACTATGCAGGTCACCCTATTAGTTTTAATGAGCATCCAAATAAGTGCCATATTATATGCAACACGGCAATAGAATCAATGAAGGATAAGGATATCTACAAAGACAGCTTTGAAATAAAATTCACAGAAGTAAACTGAAAGCTGTTTTTCTGATAAATAAGAGATCTGATGCTCGCTCTTACAGAATTTACAAGTAATCTAACTTTTCCCCTTCCCTAAATTCACAGAATTTTTGTCTATTATTTTATGATTTAATCTGCATTTTAAAATTACAGATATAATCAAATAAACAATATATTTACATCTTTATCCCATCTGACTTTCAAACAAATAATGAGTATTTCTAAGATTTTTTTCAGGGAAAAATAAAACATGATCCTATGTGAAAAAACACGGATGGCAAGTGTGTGTGTGTGTTGGGGGAGGAAATCACATGTAAAAATGTTAAATGGTCATTCCATTTGAAGCTTTCTCTATTTTTTTCGCTAACCAAAAATATAAAGTATAAAGGACTTCCATCTAGAGGCTGAGAGAAGGAACTACAGATTTGTAAAAATTTCATTGTTTATATCAACAAATAACTGAATCATATACTGTTACTGAACAATGTCCACTCATAATAGGGAGCAGAGAAAATTAAATTGTGAAAGTAGGAGAACTATTTTAAATACACATCATTATTAATTTTTAAAGTATACTTTTTTATTGTAAGGGAATGTTTAATTGCTCATGAATTTTTTCAATTACTCATTGACTATAAAACGTGGGCATTTACTATGTGTCAGGCACTGTGCTATATTCCGGGGATATAGTGGTAAATAAGAAAGACATGAATCTCGTATGGAGTTCAGTATCTACAAAGAAACTTTTAAATTCTCTACATTATAAGGGTCTCTAGGAGCAACACATTTTATCCATTTTTATGTTTTTACTTTGCTGTGGTGGTGCTTATATTACATTATGTAACACATTTAAAAATTTTTTAAAATGCTTTCATGAATTATATATATTACACATATATTCTAAAATATCTGAGATTAAATTTTGATGTGTTTTTATTTGTAAAAGATTATTGCAAAATTCACCTGTTTGGAATTTTAAATAACAAATCAGATTTTTCTTTGAACTGCTTAACAATTATCAAAACATTTTTCTAAGTGGTGGTTATCTTATAAAAGGTATTTGTGGTTCTGGAATAAGGAATAAAAGATCTTAATTCTTTTCTCATAAAAAAAGTTCCTGAAAGCAACAGAGTAGAAAATTTTTAATTATTACAATGATATGTCAATTACATTTCAACAGAACTAGAAAAAATTTTTAAAAAGTATTTTACAGATTCTTCTAATAGGAACAGTATTACTCAAATTTTACATATACCACAAAGTTCAATTCAAGGAGATGTACAGAATCTAATAAATATCTACATAAAATTATCTAATGGGAATATTACATATATTCCAAGTATTTTCAGATTTTGAAAAGCTAATTGAAAGGCAAGTTTCAGTGGGAACCTATAGTATTGTACCATATATCTGCTAATAAAACTTAATGGGATTGATCGATTTCTCTTTTACCTACCTACACTACCTACCTACCTACCTACCTACCTACCTACCTACCTATCTACCTACTTATATAATGTATGTATTTATTTATAATTCAAACTTAGGTTAAAAATTAGTGCTATTCTGAAGGTAAAATTATTTAAGTTTATGTTCTGCTATAATATTCTATTGTCACACAATGTTGTTATCAAAGTAGAAATACATTAATAAAAACTTTATAAATAATGTAATCAATATTACATGTATATAATGTAATATTATATATGTAGAAATATATTAATGCACATACATAATCTTAACTATACATTTTTAAATATTATGAAATAAGTCAATGTTGCAACAATTAAATAAATTTAAAAAGTTTTAGTTTACAAACAGACCTTTCAAATATTTAAATGTTTCAATAAACTATCCAGATCATAAGATGTAGCAGACCAATTTTCATGTGCCACCTTCTTATTTATCTTAATACATATGAACTATTCTAATAAATATGAACACTTCCTTTTCTATCAACCTCCTTTTCTGCCCCTCAACCTCCAGTAGCATTGAAGTCAAAGCAGCAATATGGTAAATGGGTATTTTAAGAGAAATTGAATTCTCTGTAAAAGTGGTGAGACATACTGAAAAGAAATGTGAAGGTTTTGACCAATTGATGCTATTTTGTTGGAGTTTCTTCTCTATTTTTTCCTGAAACTTGCAAACCATCAGTAACTGACTTAAGGAAATGAATAAAATAAGTACAGATGCCATTCTGCCTTGACTTCAAGGTGTTAGGTGTTTCAAGTTATGGAAAAAATACACTTTGTTGATTTTCAAAATGAATTTTTATATCATCTACACGTGCAGTTACTTTGAAAATAAATAAATGCTGAGAAAATACAATGAGAAGTTCACATTATTATGTATTTTTAAATTCACAACAATTGAGAGATATACTTTTAATGTGATAGTAAGCCATTATGGAAGTATTGACATCAATACTTTTATAGTGCTTCTATGCTGTTTTTCTTTTAAAGTCTGAAGACTTTACTTTAAGTAATGACAATTATTGTACACCCAAGGTATGAAAGAAATTAGAGCAACAGTAAACCCACTTAGAAGCAAAGATAGTCTTACCACTGCTAGGGAAAACAAAGGAAGGTGTTTTAAGGCATATCAAAAGTATTGATTTTGGTGAAGACTAAGTAATCTGATACATACCACAGAATTTTAATCCCATTATGAAATTCAAAGATAGGTCCTTAAAACGGCACCTAGATTTGGTCATAGTCAACATGAACATGTAATTCAATCTCTCACTATCCTTTCAATCCAACCATAGAAATGTGTTGAATTAATAAAAGTTAAACACTGTTTGGTTCCATAGAACACTATAGCAAAAGTTCCCGAGATATCCCATATAACTTACAATAATTTACTTCTTTGAAATAGAAAATTGCAAACTTGTCCTGCAGTGGGCAAAACAGTGAATATTTTAGGCTTTGCAGGCTATACTACCACCTCACAAATAATCAACTGTGCTACAGTAGTATGAAAGCAGTCACAGACAATACACAAGCAATGGATGTGGTCATATTTCAATAAAAACAGGTGTTGGGCATGATTTGGGTCTCAGACCACTGTTTCAATAGATCACCTGCTACAAAATATCAAAATTTCGTATATAAAAGGATGCCAATACTTGAGATTTTGAAAATCTAAACAAATGGTAAATTTCAATAACGATTTGGCTTAATTTTACCATAATTTAAAGGGTGATGATGAGTATCACATTATTCTGCATTTTCCAATTCAAAGCTTTTTGTCAAGTTAATGTATTTTTTATAAACTTCTATTTTGACCATAACTTTTTAATTTAAAACGACAATCTGTAGTTCCATTTAACTGTTATAAGAAAAAAAAGCTTTTAAAATACTCATAGTGAATGAGAATTTTAAGACATTTGATAATATTAACTTATTCTTAATTTGAAATTAATTTTAACTTATGGAAGGTACTTGTTTACTGCTGATACTATGAGAGTGATTTCACACATGAAATAAGCAACTCAATCTCGTAAGACTGTAACAAGCATGATAGATATATAACAAAAAGATGATTTCTAAAGTAAAATCAGGAAAATATTTACCACATAGTATTTTTGTATATTTGTAGAATTGCACAGTTATGATGATCTGAGGCAAAGTTTTAGAATGCCATATTTCTGCTCTTGAGACAAAATTCATCTACTCTATGCAGGTAATTAAATATCTCAATTCCAAGGCAAAACTAGGTTCCCTAATCCAATAGCATCAATCGTTGCTATATCCACTGAAGAAGCCAAACTTTGCATACTAGGTTGCTTTAGGCATTTCTAGGTGAACCATGAAAGACAGAGTAGTTCATGAAAATGTAAATGATGTTCTATACAAACTTAACTCATACACACCGAAAGATAGGCTTATGAGAAAAGTATGTCTCTACTCACACAAAAATGTTCTTTTCAAAAAGCAGACATCTATTTATCGTTGTTAATATAAAGCATGAAAATCAAACCCATTTTTATTAAAAATGTTCCTTACATGTATTCTGTTGTTTTAGTTTTATTAACACATCAACTATACAGCCTATCTACAAAACAAATGTCTGTTATTCATTGTAACTGAACAGAAGTAAATCTTCGAAATTTGATAAAACTAATCACCTGAAATATTCATTTAGGCTGGTAATTAACCATTAAGAAAACAATTTTCAAGGCATGACTACATAAATTCTGTGACACAACTCAAATGTGGCAATGTTTATTTAAAAGCTTTGTGTTTGTCATACTTCTAAGATCTCCTAAGATTAAAGATAACCTTTTGAGAGTGAAAAATTTTCCACTGTGGATATGTTTTGCTTAAATAAAATCTGTTAAAACTGGCTGACCCACAGGTTGTCTGTAAGTTAACTGCCAAAGACACAATTTTTCCAAGTGAAAGAGAAATTTTTCTAGGGCATGAGTTCAATACATGCTAAATATTACAGACCACAGGTATGCATGATTAAAGTTGACCACAATAAAGAATATATGTATTAGATTTAAATGAGCCCAACTCACTGAAATGACACCATTTAGTAGTCTCAAAGGACTCAATTTCTTGAATATTATAGTTTACCAGAGGCAATTTCACATGCTTAATTCCACTTTCACTCAACCCTGAGTTATCAATGTCAATGAAAATAATGGTCACCAGACAAACTTGAAATAATTCTTCCATCTGTACTAGGACCATGATTCTATCATGTGCCAGCCAACAATGGATTTAATTTATTAATGTATTCATTTTTTCTCATTCATTCACCAAACATTTGTTTTATGCCTATGTGCCATGCATTACACTGCATTCTGTAGCTACATGTCAAGGGAAGGCAGAAATGATCTGTACTATCAGAGGGTTTACAATCTAGCAGGAAGCATGCAAAAAGATCAGTACCTCTATATTTCTAATAAAATTAACTTGGATCACTAAATCGGCAGTCCTGAAAGAATCTATTTTGCAATATGCTAGTTAATATATCAATAACAACATACTGGCCAGAAGCAAACATCACTACTCACTCTTCAGTGGTTGGAAACACTCCTTTAACACACAAGGATCACATATAAAATAGACAAAATAAATTTTTGCATAATTATGTTTGACAGTTTAATATTCTGAGGGACATCCAGAAGTTTTAAATATTCATGACATTATGAGCTGTGAAAAACATAAAATTATGTGCTCAAAATCTTTGCTTCTTAGTGAAAACATACTTTTTCTTGACATGAGTTAAGTCACTTAGTGACAAAGCACAGTTTAGAAGTCTAGCTTCCTAATCCAGACTCCATTTTCATTACATCAGTTAGCTTCACATAGCTTATTCAAGAATACAGGGTGTCAGTAAAGGCTATTATTGCCAACTGATAAAACACCAGTATGATAGCAGAGGTAGTGAAAATAATGGCTCTTATTCATAATCAACTGTAAATAAAATTATAATGAACACCATAAGGCCTTATATGAAGGTCAATGCTCTGTGATACGTCAGAAAGATTTTATACAGCTAAAACACATATTGCTATATTTATACCTTAGTTAAGTACTCAGTAGAGAAGCAGGAAAAAAAAAAAAAGAAAAGAAAAGAAAAAAAAATGAATCAGTATTTTACCATTGAGAACTTTTTACTTTTACTTTTCAACCACCTGATAACCTGTTTCTTTCTTGAGAAGAGGCTGTTTCTTTTTTGGTAGTGCAACAATAAGAACTTTTAATTTATCAGATCTTGCTGGTTGATTTTTTTTCTTTTTCTACAATGATAATTACATTAATCTTGTTTTAGGTCTTATGCTTTGTAGTCCAAATTAAGAAAGAAAAGACAATTACTCTCAAATGATACTCATAAATGTTTGTAAAATAAAAGTCAAAATTTCAAGATACCCAATACTTGAAATTAATGTGTGTGGCATTTCTTATATCAACTTTATCACTATAAAGTTTGAGATTAATCCTCATTCCAGCAGTCATGTGGTAATATAATTTCCTGACGTATCATAATGGGTGAGTAAGTTTCTACTGGAATAGGTGGCCTTCTATTAAAACTTCTAGTGTTATCAAACATTTTTTCTACATCAAAATAATTGTCGAATGTTAAACTACTTTATTAAAAGCCTAGCATTAAAAAAAACTCATACTTCAATATGTTTCATTTTTTCTACAAATACTTTTATAGTTTCTATCATAGCACACAAGGAGTTCTGTTTTCTACATCCTTATCATGCTATAGCATAATTGTTATTAAAATTTTTATATATTTTATGACTGCTTAATATATCTTGTTAGGTTTTCATAATTTACTATTCAAACATAGCTGCCATTTAGGGGATTTACTTTACTTGAATTACAATAAAAATATATGAAAAGAGCTCAGTGTTTATAGACAAACAAGTTCAATTTTTATCCTGCTTCCAACTCCTAATGGTCATGTATATTTATTTTGTTTTTCTGAGGCTTTCATTCTATGGTAGTGGGGTAGTTTTAATAAAAATATATCTAAAATATTGAGCACAGTGCCTGATACATGGTGCTTAATAAATTGCGGTACTATGAAAATTTTCCAAATTTCAAGAGGTATCCTTAAACTAGATTCCTAGAAATAAAATTATTCAAACAAAACATATGCTTTTAATAAATGCCACCAGATCTTTTTTCCAAAATGTTTATTTATTTAATTTAGATATCCTACAGCATTGTGCTGATCAACAATATGTTAAAAGGCAAATTAATTTAGAAAGAAATGTAAGTTAGTAAAATATATTACCCATAAAATAAATTTGATGTATACTTACCCTGCATGAGGGGCTGCTAGCCCTTTATGGGAGGGAGATAAGTTCTGAAGTTTGTTTCCCAAAGAGCTGCTAACTGAAGACACTTTACCTGTGGGCACACCTTATAATAAAAAGGCATTAGTTTTAATGACTCTCTGAAAAAGAAAAATCACATAAAACAGAACCTCTGATAGGAAAACAATGCTTTAGTGCAATAAATCAAAACAAATTATCAACAAGAAGTCTTGTTTTTTTTTTTTTTTTAAACTGGCATTTCCAGGAAACACCTTTGATTTCTTTCTTTCTTTCTTAAAATATACACACAAACAAAGGCCCACCTCAATAATCAACAGCTTTTTCAAGCTTCTAAACATTTGTCTATTAAGGAAGTTTGCCAATTTCAGTAAGATGAAAAAACTAACATAGAAATGAAGGAAGAATACTGTGGTGGAAGAATCAAGAAAAGAACCTGGTGACCATTCTGAACTGGTGATTTATCAATAACAACATCAAAAATAACCATTTAGAGTAACAACAAAGAACTACAGAATATCTAAAGTAGAAGCTATTAAAATTTACCCAATTTTTTTAAAAGATTTATTTACTTATGCATACAAAAGCTGGGGTGTAGGCCAGAGGTGCTGGGGGGGCGGTGTGTGAGAGGATTCCCACAGTGTGGAACAGAACAGGTGGATTGACTGAAATACACTGCTGAGGGGAGCAGCGAGCCAGACAGGAGAGGTCTGCTGTGCCATGGGGGTCACCTCCCTGGCCAGGGATTGAACTTGTGCTGCAGTGGCTGCGGAATGCTTCATAGTGCTGACACTTTAACCCCTTGCGCCACCACGGAAGCCCACCAAATTTTTATCCAGAAATAATTGCTTATCCTCCACAATTCTTCCTAATTATGAATCTATTTTAATATTCCAGAACAAATCACTAACTTCAGTTTCTTTTTTATCAACATTGCTTAAAAATGTCAAATAATTTTATGAATTTCATTACCTACAACAGTTTTGCTAGTGCTACTTGGTTGTGGTAATCGTGAAGACACTGGTGTGGTTCCAGGAGAATTTGACTTCTTAAGAGCAGGCGGCTTATACTAAAATAATGAAAATAAGATATTTTTATCAACAACTCTTTTTATTAGCTAATAAATTACACAAGTCAAAAAAGTGTAAATTGAACTATGTCACCCCAAAGAGAGTTTTCTGAATCTAATGTTCCCTCTCAAAATTGGTATACTGAAAGTCTGCTTCAGATGTTACACTGCTAAAATAAACCAAGAGCAAAGGGGAAAAAAAATGTCTAATGAAAATAATTTCATCAATGCTAAGATTTAAGTGGCAAACATTAACAGAAAAACTTAGAAAGACCAAATGATGTTTACCTGGTTGTACAACCATAAAGGTCAAGAGTTTTAAATGTTTTTGGCTATGCTTTTATATATCATATATATAATCCAGCCAAATTTCTTACTAATAAAAAGTCATGAGGTTACCTTACCAATACAGACAAGTTTTATGACAACTGCTTTGTGGATTTCCTTATATAAAGGAAAAGAGCCAATTCCAATTTATTTATCATTGCCAGTACATGTTAGGTGAATATAATATGGGTTGAGAAAAAGTAGTTCAGCTTATCTTGTTTATCTTTTTTCTTTCAACATTCTCTAGAGGGATATATCACTATTAATTTTATTTTATTATCTTTTACTTGAGTCAAATATCGCTCAGAATGCTACTAAATGTAAAAGTATCTTATAGATGACTTGATGCTCCAAACTAAAGCTAAAAACTTGTCTAGGGTTATACCCCGACTTAAAGACATAACTAGAATTAAGGCTCATGTGACCTACAAAAATGAATGATATAAAATATATATACATATATATAAATATATATTAAAAAAAGATTCATGTGACCTTATTTCTAGTCTGATGTTTCAATCATAGGTGATTACTGGGCTTACATGTGTACCTGAAATTTAGTCCATTGCTTTATTTACATTACTTAGGAATTCATGTGAAATACTGGTTTTAATCTAATTTTCAAAAATCAAAGCATATTTTATAACCAAGAATTAGTATAATACAATATTTATGATGTATTATTGCTTAGTACTGCTGGCAAAACACAAACTTTATTTTATCTTATTTTTAAATTATTTTATTTTATATAATTCTTACATCATTTTTCATTTTTGCACAATGTAGGCATTTTCATTTTGGTTATATTCCCCATAAAATTCCCACCCCCCCTTATTCTGACCCTAATCCCTCTTCTCCTCCCCCAAGACACAAATTTTAAAGGCATACATTGTAACATTTTAAAATTCAGTATGTTATTTCTAAAAATAAATAAATCTTGATGAAAGGGTCATATACACACATAATTACTATGCACATTTGGCACAAATATGCCAGAAATTTGTGCTTAAAATTTCTTAAGCACTTGACAAATAAAAGGCCTTCATAGCTATCTGTCAAATAAATATAAATGACTAGGAGTCCTTGAAGATGCATCATATATAGTTTCTCCAAAAAGCATAGTAAGAGGTGTCTCTAGTTTAAAAGGCATCTGGGTATATCAGTCTCTCCACTGAAATACCAATGAAGATTAGGAAAAGTTTAAAACTAACAACAATATGGAAAACAAGATCTAATAAAGACTTGTGAAATATCAAAAACATGTCTCTAAAAATAAAGTTAATAAAAACTGGACTAAGAAATAGGATTACCGCTAACCAATATTCTGCTAACTACCAAAAAGGAGAAAAATGATTAGCTTAAACAAAGGGGTTGGTATACCAAATTACATACTGAGAGGTCAAGCCTTAGTAAGGATGCAGGTATAAAGGGCATTGTATAATAAGGAGTAAAGACTTTTTTGTATATACTAGTAATTATTATTAAATTAATGGCTCAAAAACAGCAAAAGAGAGAATATTCCTTTCAAAAGGTGCTTTGTCTTTCCACTCTCTATTAGCTATTCCACTGCTTTAATCAAATAATTTATTGTCAGGTTTCCTGAGCTATCCACAACTAGCCCAAATTCATCTATCTCCTATAATATTCCTTATTACTTTCTATGATATCTAGTTGGGGTAGTTTCTTTACTGAATCTTCAATCTACTCTGAATGCCTTCTTTAAAATATATTCACCTGTTGGCAGTAACTTGCTGTTCGCCTGACCTAGATAATCTGACTCCTTCCTTACTGAACTGTATTTTATCTTTTCCAAAACATCTAGCTAAAATTCTGCCAAGTACTATGAAGAATTTCAGGGTAACTCTATTAACAATTTTATAGATACATTTTACTTATTACAAGAGCAAAATCACTTTATATATATAGCTATATTCATATATATCTCATTCATTAAATAAGCATTTCTTGGCTGTTGATTATTTCGCATGCTTTTACACAATCACAGATCTAATACATCTATTTAGTAGACTATATTTAGAAAGACTTTCCATTGAAAGTGAAAAAGCTTAAAGAATGTGGGGAATATTCATTTCTGATAAAATGGTAGAAATCATTATTTGGATCAACCTTTAAGTGAAAATTGAAAACACTCTGCAAAGTACAATTATTTTAAAAACACTGAATGTCAAGTAAGTGGAAGAAGAACTGCCAGGTCAACATAATCTAAGACTGTAACAACCGTTTGGCCATTACATGGATTTGCTATATAAATTAGCATTACTAGGATGGTCAAGCAAACTAAGTCAATAATTTCAAAACCGCTAGTTTGCTTAGATACCTTTGGAAGTGGACACACCACATGTATAATCTTCATGAGTAACTTTTTACAGGGAACAAGCAGTAAACAGTCAATAATAATTTTGGAAATAATGACATAAGGATCAAGAATGAGGGTGAAAAAAGAGAGCAAGAAAAAATCTATAATGGTCATATGATACTACAATTTTCAGACACATAATAGAAAACAATTATGCTTACTAAACTTAAAGAAAGAAAAGATAAGCGTAAATATTAACAGGAAATTGGAGAGTATAAAAAGTTAATAGGAAGTTAGAAAAACAGCCAATTATAAGAAATAAAAAACTGGTAATTGTGTATTCTGAGTTTCACTGCAAGAAAGGGAAAGGAGAGGAGAGAAGGAAAGGGGAAGGAAAAGAGGAAGAAGGAGTTAAGAAAACAAAAGGAAAAATAGTAACAGGAAAGTATGGCCCACATTCAGCAAAAATGAGAGTTAACAGAAACTGTCTCCAAGTGGGCACTGGTATGCTAGATTTAGCTGTTAAGCTTAAGTTACTGCAAATATGTTTAAGAGGTGAAATAAAATAAAAGGTCTTTCACTAAAATGAGAGGCAAGGAATAAGTCACAAATGGAGTTAAAATAAAAAGGACAAAACAAAAAAACATCAATATGACAAACCTAAACACACCAATAATTTCAATAAATGTAAATTACTAACCACTTGAAACAACAGGATGGCATTATTAGATTTTAAAAAATAACCAATTATATAGGCTGTCTACAGGAGATGCAAAAATGTCTTTAAAAAACATTTAAAGAATGGAAAGGAAATAAGGGTAGTTAAACTGAAATGATTTATATTACCAGGAGAAAACTCACTTCTCACAAGGAATATTGCCTTGGAAAATAAGAGAAATCCATAGTGATAAAAGGGAAAATAAATGATGAAGCAATACCAAGTTATAAATGTTAAGCAAAATTATTAAAAATTCAAAATACTTGATGCAAAAGCTGGAAAATTAAAGCGATATAGAAAAAACTCACAATCATAGCTATTTTTACACATTTCCCTCAATAACTGATGTAAGCATTTAAACAGGAAGATGAGAACATAAAGATCTGAATAACACTGTCAGTCACCTTAATCTGACCTTTATAAAACATTATACACAACTGCAGAATACATTTTTTTCCCAAATGCTATGGAACATTCATTTAAAAAAAATTTAAAAAAGAATATATACTACAAATTAGATAATTTACAGGCAATAAAATGATTCTGAAATAAATGGAAATCTTACTATGTTCTTACACTACAACAGAACCTAATTAAAAATAACAATAACATATCTAAAAAAAACCAAATACCTGGAAGCAAATGACTTATTCTTAAATAAACTAATAGTAAAAGAAATTTAAAAATATAAGTATTTTGAACTGTATATGGTGATTAAAAATTATATTTTCAAGGATGTAAACTAATGGTACTCCAATTAAAACAAAGTAAAATAGAAAAACAAGACTTTTGGAGTAAATCTACAACAATGTTAAAGCAGTGAAACCAAAAGCCATTTCTTTGAAAAGATGTAACAAAATTCATTAATTAATGAGATTGATAAGGGAAACAAATCCCATTAGAAAGTAAGAGAAAAGACAAAATGCCAGAATATGGAATGTTCAGGAACATATAAACATTCAGTTTTTAGTAGTTTTGTTCCTTTTATCTGTGTACTTTTTTTTCCCCCAACAATGTCTTAAAGTTTTCATATAAAGTCTTTCACCTCCTTGGTTTAATTTATTCCTAGGTACTTTACACTTCTGATGCAATTACAAGTGGAATTATTTTCCTAATTTCTCTTTCTTCTGGAGAAAGAGAATAGAACTTCAAAAAAAGAAGTATCATTCCAAGTTCTACAGGCACTAAAAGCACAATACCTTTAGGTCAATAAATTCATTTATATAGGCAAGTTATATAAATGATGCAAATTACCAAAACTGATACCCAGAAGAAATTAAAAGCTGAATACTCTGTCTATCAAAGAAATTGAAGCATTAATTGAAAACCTCCAAAAAAAGAATTAAAAGAAAAATCCATACCCACATTGCTTTATTGGTGAATTCCAGCAAACATAAAATAGGAATAACATCAATACTACAAAACTCCACAAAGAAGAATTTATAAATATTTCAGAAAATGGGAGGGACTCATTGTAAATCCATTATGAGGTGATATCAAAACCAATGGAAAACATGTAAAGAATGTTAGTGGAAAGACTATGGGCACCTGAAACTCCCAAACTCAATGGGTTGTGCCATTTACCACATAAAGACAAAGCATAATTCCTAGTGTGCAAGACCTTCAACAGAAAAGAACTTTAATAGAATTAGTGTGCATAGAAAGAAGAAAGGGGGCCTCCCTGGTGGCGCAGCGGGTTGAGTGCCGCACTGCAGAGGCGGCACCCAGTTGCCCATCTCCTCCAGGGTAAATGCCCAGACAAACAGGGTTAGCCCAAAAGCTGGCCACAAACTAAGGTACCTTAGGCAGGGAGCCATAGGAAAGGGGCAGAAGGGGTCAGGCAAGTCTGGAAGAAAAGGATTAAAATCAAAGTATAAGTCAAGCTAAAGGCTGCCATTGTCAGCCTCCTCTCAAGTCTCCCACCCATCTCTTGCCCAAGAGTCTCCTTCCATGTCTTCCAAGTGACTGGTACAAAGGCTCTGAGAAGCAAGCATGGCTTTTTCTTCACGTGTCTCTCTGCTCCATATGCCCCTTATCCACCCAAGTCCTCTCTCCCAAGTGCTTTTCACCTTCCTCTCAACACTCAGCTCCACCCTTCATTAGTGGGACAGGTAAAAAGGAATCTCCCCTTTTTACATTACATTGTAATGAGAACCACACACTAGTTTCTATTCTGAGCATAAAGGTAACAACTCTGAACAAAATTTTAGCATATCAAATCTAACAATATTATAAAAGGTAACGATTCACAACCAAATGGATTTTATTTGTGGAATGCAAAATTGATTTAACAGCTGAAAATCAATCAGTGCAGTTTATCATATTAAAAGAAGGGAGAAAAAAATATTATCATCTTAATAGATAAAGAGCACTCAACAAAACTGAAAATCCATTTTTGGTTAAAAAAAAATCAATTCTCTTAGGGAATAGAACTGACAAGTCTAACAAAGGAAATCAATAAAAATCCAAAGCTAAAACTTCAGTGGTAAAATACTGAATGCTTTTCACTTAAGAACAGGATCAAGTAAAAATGTTCATTCTTACCACACTTCTACTCAACAATGGACTAAAAGTTCTAGCCAGTACGAGAAAGAGAGAGAGAGAGAGAGAGAGAGAGAGAGAGAGAGAGAGAGAACAGATGGAAGGAAGGGAGGGAGGGGAAGGAAAGCATACATGACTCACATGACATGTGACATGACATGACATGACTCATGGAGGGCTTAGAGTAGAAATTGGGATGGAGACCTCAAAAGACCACAAACTTAAGGTGGGGTTAGGAAAGTTCAACCCAGTCTTTAAGCCATTTATAGAAATTAAAATTCCTTAGGCAGGTCCTGCTATAGAAAATATTTCTAGGCACAAATGAAAAGTGTAGATAAGGAGATTGAGGGGCATTAGGAAATCGCCAGTCTTTAAAATTAATCCAACCACACCCTAGAAGTGATTGGTTTAGACATCAATTGCACAAAGGAGCGAACCGTGAACCGCTCCCCACCAAAAAGAATACTGTATTAGAACAATTCCTGTCCTGGCAAAACGCAGGGCTCTTCCCAAGACTGCCTTCCTGTGTCTGTGCAATTGTCTCTTTAAGCAAACATTTCCCTTTGGAAAAAAAGCAGCAGCAGCAGCAGCAGCACCTCTCAGCCCACCTGTGTTTATGCAGGTGCCTCTTTTATTCCTTTCTCCTTTTCCTAACAAACCTGTCCTTTTAAAATGTAACCTTTTACCTGCCTGTATCTGTGCAAATGTCTTCGCCTCCATGGTAAACTTGCCTAGTCCCGCTAAAAGGGGAACTCTGCTGAAACTTTTCTCAGATCTAACAATGGACCCAGCTCACTGAACCCCAGTATCTCATCAGAACCCCATCAATGACTGTACACAGAAAAATCCTAGGAAATCTATAAGAAGTCTACAATAACTTATAAGTGAATTTAGCAAAATACAAGATCAAAAAATATGATGGCCAACCAAGATGAAAATGAACATCGTGAAATAAAGAAAAATAAACTGGAAATATAACAAGTTTGCAAATGCAATTTACTCAGAGTGGAAATAGTGTGGTATTGCTAAAAGGAGAAATACACATATCAGTGGAACAGAAAAGTGTGTTCTAAAATATACTCACATATAAACATTCAACTGATCTTCAACCAACATGTCTAGCTAATTAATTCATTGGGAAAGTTAACAGAGTACTAGAACAGAAAATCCACATAGAAAAGAGTTAACAATTGTTTCTTACTTCACACCACATACAAATATTAGCTTGAAATGATACATAATCAAAATATAAACACTAAACTGTAAGATTCTAGACTACACAGGAGAAAAAATACATGCATCGTTGACAAAAACCAAGCATAAATCATAGAAAAAATTATTGAAAAACTGGACTTGATATAATTTTAAAACTTTTGTTCTCCAAAAGACATTCGTAAGGAAATGAAAAAGCAGTAATGAAAAGACTTTCAAAAATCAGAAGCCCAGGACCAGATGGCTTCACTCGTGAATTCTACCAAATTTTCCAAATAAAATTAAAACATATCCTTCCCAAAATCTTTCAATAAACTGAGGAGGGCAGACTTCCAAAGACATTTTATAAGACCAACATCATCTTGTTTTAAAGCCAGACAAGAACATCACAAAAGAAAAAATTATAGATAAGGACCTTGGATGACCACACATGCAAAAATTCTCAACAAAATAGAAGCAAACCACATTCAACAATATACTAAAAAAATCAGATACCACAATCAATTAGGATTTAGTCCAGAGATGCCAAATGACTGAACATACACAAATCAAATAATGTTATACTATGCATAACCAAAAAGGACAAAAATCATATGATCATCACAGCAGACCAACAAGACAAGATGCAGTATCCTTTTAAACAAAAAACCACCAACAAAATGGGTATAGAAGGAACATACCTTAACATAATAGGCCACATACGACAAACCTACAGTCAACATCAAAATTGACACCCAGAAATACACACATTATATATATATATATATATATATATATATATATATTTATGAAAAAGAAGCTAAGAGCATACACTGGTGCAAGGACAGCCTCTTCAATAAATGGTGTTGGGGAAATCAGGTGGCCATATACAAAAGAATGAAACTATACCATCATTTAACACCACACTCAAAAACTAATTAATGAATGTATTGAAGACTTGAATATAAAATCTGAAACCAGAAAATGATAGAAAAAACAATAAGTTCCCTGATATTGGCCTTAGAGACGTCTTTGGAGATTGGACCTGACAACAAGTGAAACAAAAGCAAAAATAAGCAAATGTACTACATCAAATTAAAAAGCTTCTACACAGCAAAGGAAACAATCACCAAAATGAAAAGGCTTTCTACTGGATGGGAGAAGATATTTACAAGGTATACATCTGACAAGGGTGTGTAACCAAAATATATAAAGAGAGCTCGTAAAACTCAACAACAAAAAACAAACAAGCCAATTTAAAAATAAGCAGAGGATTTGAACAGATACGTCTCCAAAAAAGACATACAGGTCAAAAACAAGCACATGAAAAGATTTCATCATACTTATTATCTGGGAGATGCAAATCAAAACAACAATGAGATATCTATAACCTTACATGTGAGAATGGCTGTTATTATCCAAACTATAAGAAATAAGTGTCGGAAAGGCTATGTAGAGAAGGAAACACTAATGAGAATGTAAACCAATTGACCAATTGTGGAAAACAGTATGGAGATTCATTAATAATTCAAAATACAAAGTCCGTACAGTCCAGATTGTGCCACTTCTAAGTATTTATCCAAAGAATATCAAAACACTAATTTGAGAAATATATACCTCTCAATGTTCATCACGGCATTATTCACAATATTAAAGAGCTGGAAACAACCTAAGTACCCAGATACAGGTGACTGAATAAAGATGTGGTAAACACACACACACACACACACAGTGCAACAGTACTCAGTTATAAAATAAAGATGAAATCTCGACATTTGCAACAATATGAATGGTCCTAGAGAGCATTATGCTGTGTAAAATAAGTCATATGTAGAAAGACAAACACTGTCAAAGACTGTATGATTTCACACATACAATGAAAATAAAACTAATGATCAAAACAAATCAAACTCTTAGACTATAAGAACAAAATAATGGTTACCAGAAGGGAAAATATTGGGGGTTTGTAAATAGGAAAAATGGGCCAATTATATGGTGCAAAATGCAAACTGCACTTTTGATGACAGACAATGTAATTTATAGACTGAATCTGTTTCGCCTATTTTAAATGATGTTCTTACCTTTGTCCTATTCTTTAAATCAGGAAATTTTTAATTCTCTACTAACTCATGTCCATTTCAAATTCATTAATTTTATTCTCAATAGGCCACTCAAATTGTTTACTAAATCCCTGAATAATGCAGAAATTTTTGCAGTTAAGAAAACTGTGATAAAATATCTGTAAAGCATAAACACAAAACTTAAATGAGCTGTTCTCACATTTCTTTGTAGAAATGATTAAAATTGAGAATTTCACCTGTGTCCGAGAAGTTGCTTTTCCTTTGATATCAGTAGCAAATTTGCCTTTATTACTAATACGTGCTGCCTGTTCCTTACAGAAATTTATATGTCTATCAGCTGCATTTTCATTAAATCTTCTCTGGCAATAAGGACACTGGATATAATCTAAAACAGATAAAAAAATAACAGATTAATAATATAACATTTGAAATGGAACTTAAAAGAATTTTAAGTTTTAATGAACAGTAATTTAAGATGTAACAATGTAAATAACATCAGATAAACAGAAACTTTCATGTCTTTATAAATGATCCAACATGACTTATCTAAGCTCAGTAAAAATATTTAAGAAAAAGTCTACTAGTAGATGACAAATTCTAATTTTTTCCAAATTTAGAATCAAATATTCGGGGAAAAAAAGAACAAAAGAACAATCCTCAGTATAAAAGAATGAAAAAGTAGAGGAAAAATATTATTGCTCTTTTGCCTCTATAATACTGTGTTATACATAAGACTAAGCAATAACACATTATATACTAAAAATACATTTTAAATTTTGAGATCATCTGTTAAAATCTTTTATTTCAATTAGAGAAAAACACAGAAAGTCATTTAATTATAGCTGTATTTTGTCTTAGAGGTTCCAACAGATGGAAGAAGTGATAAAAATATCTCAGTAACATAATTAATTCAAATTAAAAAAAAACTGCAACTATTTCCAAAGATTAGATATTGTCCCAAAATGCAAGGTATACTTTAAATAAAATTTCTTTTAAAATTAAATCTCAAAATTATCACAGACAAAAACATTTGTAGCATTGTAAAAGATCTCAACTTTATGAGACATCATGTATAAACATAAATATAAAATTTAGTGTCAAAAAAATCTCAATTTATTTCAACGGATTTACTTTTTGAAAGGTAGTTTGCTCTTTAGAATTCATGCTCATCAAGTTCAGAAATTTGTCCTGCTAAAATGAATGGAGTAGGATAAGTTCTCTACTAACAAGAGCTGCTTTGTCTGGACTAAGATATTAAAAATAATTCTTAAGCCCCAATTATGCTAAAAAACAGTACTCTCTGACTTATATAAACATGCTATTTATAGTCAAATTGATCAATACGCTATGTACAAATACTGCCAAGCAGAGAGAAAATTTAACTTATGGGGAAATTACAGTGGTATTAAAAAAGTTTCAAGTCTAGTGGAATATCCTAGATATTATAATACCAGAATTAAAAATTAATTAATTAAAGTTAAGTCTCTGGAAAAGGGCTGGCAAAATAGGGCCAGAAGCCAAATTCAGTCTGTGTGTTGTCTGTTTTAAAAATAAAGTTTTATTGAAATGTACCCAAACCCATTCATTTACATATGTCTCTGGCTGGTATCTCCCACCAGTGACAGTTAAGTAGTTACAATAGAGCTCTCATGACATGCAAAGTAATAAATAGTGTCAAAGTGTCAACTGTGCTATTTTATATCTTTTAGTATCTCAATATCTAACATGGGATTATCAACCTCTTGCCTTGCTTTTGGTAACAATGATAAAAGTAAATTTACCTACCCAATGATAAAAGTAAATTAACACATAAGACATAATTTAGGTATATCACTCTGTAGGATAGTTTCTCCACATGAATCACACATTTTAAAAGCAGTATGATGATTTTTTTTTTTCCTTCCCAGATAAAATACCAAGGGATTAGGCAACACAACTTTCTCAGTCTTACTAAATAACTATTTCAATCCACAGTGAGCATAATGAAAATATTTCCTGGAATATGAACATTTAACAATGACTACAATAATTGTTAATGATATAATAATGCTTTGTTAAGTAAAACTATTAAGATGAAAAGACAATGTCTATCTCTGTTCAATATTAATGTGTCTCTATGAGCTTACATGCCTTGATTAATGCCCTTACTTTTATAGCAAAGATATTAAAGATTGTGGTTCATCCGTTTTATTAGTGATTTAAAATTTATAAAAATTTTATCAATGTTTTCTCCCCGTATGAACAGATCTATCACCAATATTCTAGATACCTGGGTCATAGGAAGGGGGAGGAGGAGGAGGAAGTTTACCACCCTCTTTAAGCGCCTGATCAAGGCCTTTAGCGGCTCTTATGGTAGCAATGAATTCTTCATGCTTTCTTCTCCAATTGGATGGTTTTTTGGGTGGTTCAGGCTATAAATAAAGACAAACCAGTTTTAAAACATGTTGTGAAATAAATTGAAAATAAAACTTAAAGAAAATACCAGGACTCCTGATGTGCCAACATCCGTGCTGGACTGCAGCCTTCTGGTGTTTCTCTCCACCCACTTCCTGTACAATAAAATAAGACTCTCCTCTCTGTTGCAGTTGATCTATGATGCCCAAGGGATATTCCACTACGTTATACCATCTCCAAAAATATCATTAGTTTATCAATATAAGCTAAATAAAGTTAATACAATTATGTATCTGGCAGGTTTCTAAGATAAACTTCAAATACTGGTTGAGGTATCTTATTCAAACTTCACCATCCTTCCCTTAAATATTCACAGACTAAAAAAGAAAGATAAACATCTGACTTTTCTATTATAATTTTTTGGTAAGATTAATTGCCCCATATGGAAATGTTCTCTGTTCTCTTGCACCACTGGCATCTTAGCATAACCGGTATGCTAAATGGACCATGGCAAAACTCTAATCAGCATATATACACTTGAAGAAAGTCTTTACATCAAAATGTTAATATATATATAAAATATATATCCTGAAAAAATATATATATATATTCAATATACACAGAAGCAAGGTTCATACTGTTAAAAAGATTATATAATTACCCTAGGTTTGAGAGGTTTTACTGTTGGAATATCAGTTCCTTCAGCTCTTTGTCTGCTTGAATCAAAAGTCTTCCGTTTTTTAGTGGCAGTTTTCTGGCAAATGGGTCCATGTTTTTTCTGTTAAAATTGAGAGAGAGCATGATTTTCTTTATTACAGAAGGACTATAAGACTTTACTTAAATTGTCATTTGAGACCAGTATAAAATCCTGAATATAAAATAAATAATAATTAAATACATACGACATACTTTGCTTTAAGTAAATTTTTTTAAAAATATATACAATATGTGCTATAAGCTGTCTTTCTCATAATAGAATATAAAGAACACACTTCTAATATTTTATCCAGTTATTTAATATTCTTCTAGTTTTCACAATGTTAAAGGAAATAATGCAACCAAGTCAAAACTACTGCAGTGAAAAAAAAAAAGTTATCTTCATCACCAAGTATCTAAAAATTGATACCAGAGAATGTAAAAGGACAAGACATTAGTGTTAGGATTATAAAACGTTAACATAATAGTAGCTTACTAAAATTAACATAATAGTAGGCTGTTAATATAAAACTAATATAAAATAATAGTCCAAAGAGGCCAGATTAGTGTCTTCCTTCCATAATCATTCCTCCCTTCTGGAGCTCACGTGTTCCACCTTTCTTTTTTTTTTTTAACTTTTTTTTTTTTAAGATTTATTTATTTATTTATACAAGCACTAGGTACAGTCAGAAGCGTGGGAGGGTGAGAGAATTCACCAGAGTCAGAGCGGAGAGCAGAGCAAGGCAGACTGACGAAGTACACTGCTGAGGGGAGCAGCGGGTGGCAGGAGAGGTCTGCGCGCCATGTGGGACCCTCACCCGGTAGCCGGGGATCGAACCGGTGTTGCAGAGGCTGCGGGCAGCTTCACAACCCAGTGCTCAACCGCTGCACCATTGGGGAGGCCCTGTTCTACCTTTCTTTACCAAGGATTTTTTTGTGAGCTTACTGGTGTTCCATGTCTATTGGCTTTTTTTTTTTTTTAACATGATCCCAACCTTAACATGCAATCATTCATTTATACATTTTAAGGACATTAAAATGAAGGTTCTCTTAAGTATACTCCAATTAACCTACTGGATAATCATTCTCCCTCCCTTAAGTAAAACATGTTGACTGAGGACACCATTTGCATTTGGATAAACATTGAAGAAGTGTTTTTTTTGGTGGTTGTTTTGTTTGTTAAATGTAGCTTAATGGACAACCTCCACGGACATTTATTCCCATATCTTGAGTTATACAAGTCAAAGGGTATATATGGTGCTTTGTTCCCAAACCTGACTGTACAAGTTTAATTGCTATAGTGTACATTATTTAATTAAATGTGAAAACAATAAATAAAGGCAAAAGGGAATTTTTCCTTATGAAAGCTCAGCTGAGTGCTTTGAAAAATGTTTGAAAATTTGTGAATTGATAACAGATAATCACAGGGTACAATGTTTTTAAAGAATGAAGAAAAAAGCTGGAAATAACAAGATGCAAAATGGACCATGGCAAAACTCTAATCAGCATATTACACTTGAAGAAAGTCTTTACATCAAAATGTTAATAAATGTATATTTATATTGAAGGAAGGATATAATATTTAAGGTACATAGGCATTTTTTGTTATTTTCCATTTAGTTATTTTTATGAAAATCAGCTCAACATGCTTCTATTTATATATACTTAGTATCTAAAGGTAAAGAATGCACAATCTAATTTAGATTCACTTTTAATTGAAAAAAAATTTTTTCTCTTTGGAGTTTTTCAGATATACATAAGAACTGGCAGAATAATAAAATGTACTCCCATTTACTTATCTCCCTCCTTCAATAATTATTGACACTTTAGCAATCTCATTTCATCCTCACTTTTTTTCCTGAAATACTTGAAAGCAAATACCAGGGCCTCCCTGGTGGCACAGGTTAATAAGCACAGTGCTGTGAAGCTGTCTGCAGCCTCTGCAGCACAGGTTCGATCCCCAGCCTGCCAGGGAGCTACCCACATGGCACAGCAGACCTTTCCTGTCTTGCCCACTGCGCCCCTCAGCAGTATATTTCAGTCAGTCTGTCTGTTCTGTACCCCACTCTATCTCTGGTGAATCCTCTCACCCCCTGCACCTCTGGCCTGTACCCCAGTTCTTGTATGTATAAATAAATAAATCTTTAAAAAATAAATAAATAAAGCAAATCCCAAACATCATAACAGCCTGTATCTTTAAATACATTACTATGTATTTCTAAGAGATTTTATTAATATTGCCGCAAAGAGAACACTTTAATATTTAATAGATGAGCATAGAGGACCAAACCATGAAGGAAATATTCTCTGGAAGAAGGACATAGATGAAACTGATACTCGTGAACAAAGAAGTACCCAGTGTCTCTTTAACAACAGAGGGTATTTCCATGAATGTTGTCCTGAACTACTGAACAATGACTGAACTATCAAACCCAAAGGAAAAAGCTACTTACTAATGCCACTGGAAAGAATGTTCTTCCACAAATCTTGCAAGGCAACAATTCTCCAACTTGGACACTTCCATTTTCTAAAACAGAAGCAAATTCAAATTGTGAAATTTCAAATTTTAATGTTTTCCCTTAGTTTCATGTGTAAGTTGTCAGTGCTTATTTAAAAAAAAAAAAGTTGTTTCATCTTTAGACAAGCAACATTTATCCATTAAAATTGAGCATAAGACTTTTGAGTTATCAGTAGTCAAAAAGGTCATGCCAAATATGTAAAAGTCATGACTTAAGAATAACAAAACTGATACTGTTGGACACACCTTACTTTTTAGTTATTTTAACAAAATCAATTCATTATATTCTCTTAATTCACATTATTTATTTCTCTCTACTGTAAATTAGTAAACTTTAAAAACCAAATTTATCTTAAGGCTAATATTATATATTATTAAACATTAAGAAACTGTACTGGTGATTGGTTCATCCTGAGATCTTCCTGAGATGAGCTAGGAAGTCTAGGATAAAAAGAATCTTGTTACGTTCAACACCAAAAAATAGTATGATGCTTTAAGAAATATCACCCACTTAGTAAGCAAACTGCCTATATTATGGGCAATGTTAGTTATTTTAGATATATGATGCTATGTTAAAATTCATTGGATAGTTTACAATCAGATATTCTGATCTCATTGGCATAATTCATTAAAAAAGTGAGAGCTGAAATTCTTACTCGAAAGGTGAGATATTTATCATGTAACTGCATATATAACAAATTTTGTTACTAAACGGACAAAAAAATCCTACATTCCTCAGGGTTTTACACATCTGAGTTGTTTTGCTGGTTTTATTTTCTAGATAAATATCAAACCTAAAATTATTTCCATACCTGTATTTTCTAAAAATGGTACCTGAACAATATTCCACTCTATGTTTTTGACAAATATTTTACTCGTTGTTAAAATAAAATATTAATGTTAAAATTATTTTCTGGTAGTACAATGAAGACTCATGAAAGAAGTAATTGTTCCACATAATTTGTTTTAAAGCCTTTAGGGAGTTCACAGATAAGGAATAAGGAGAACCAAAGGCCACTGATGAGAACACAATCAAACAGAAATAAAACAACTGTTTTTTTCTCTCATTTCTCTTAATACTCCACTGCCCTACCTTAGAGGAAGGCAGTGACTAACATCTCAGATGGAGGTAGTTAAGCAGTAGCCACTACAAAAGCAATGTTAAGATTTGTCTGATTTGCTTTTCTCTAATACTAGAGGGCAGGATTCTTTGTAATAGCAACAACCTCATATCTGGATCACTTAAATCCAGACTATCTGGAAAATTAAAGCAGTTGCTAGGTGCACTGAATCCATTTGGTTCATTAAGATAAGAATGTCTTCATAATGGCGGTCAAAAACCCACATGCTGCATAATCTATTAAGCTTGCTTACAGTCCTCATGTGTTCCTTTAAATTCTAAACAATGATCTAAATGTTCATGGGTAAAAAATATATCACTTAATTTATTTACTTAAAAATACATTTCTTTGTATTACCTTGATAAGTAGAAGACAAAGAAAAATCTTATAAAAACGAACTATTGAGAAAAATCAATTCAAAGGATGGAAACCATGTGAGTACCTACTGAAGCACCTACTTGCCAAGTACGTTCCAACTGACAGTGACACAAAAGTGGTATAACACAATCACTGCTCTCATAAAGCTAACCATGTGTTGTTACTGTGCATTTTACTTCTCTATATCTTAAGAACCAAATCATCTCTCATTTTTAATACAAGAACTCATAACTCAACCAGAATACTACCATACAATAAAACACATCAACGATTAACTCCTACAAGTTAGCAAACACATTCTAGATGTCTTTAATGGAAAATAAAATCATTATCACTGAAGACATAAAAAAGAGAAAACAGACGAGAGGAAAAACATATACAAATAATTATTTCAAAAAAGAATGTAAAAAGTCTTTGTTTCCTTCAAAATAAAGATATATAAGCATAATTTCATCTTGTATTACCTGGATATAGAGCATAGTTCTATAATTCACAAAATAAGGCATGTTCATATGGATTGCATTCTACTACTGATAGGAACTTCTACCAACAGGTCATGATAAAAGTCACATTTTGTTCTAGTGGTATTCATATAAAAACATGATAGTATAGAAGAAAAGGCACTGGAATTTGTTTCATATCTTCTAAGCAAAAGTTCCCAATGTGTCATTTAGAACAATGTGTCACAAGTCGCTGGGCAAAATATTTAACCTATCTAAGATTCGGTTTCCTCTTGTTTAAAATAAGAAAGTTCAGATAAATAACCTCTGTGGTCCTTTTCTAACTCTAATATACCACAATTTAATAAAATCTACCTTAAAATCACATAAGCAAGAAAAGTACATAGACAATAAGAATGATTACACCACTTGACCAACTGCATATTGTGGAATAAATGCTTTAGGTAGTATGTAGTATGTTGAGGAATTCGCATTCACCTGTCTACATACAGAACAGAAAATTTCCAAGGAACTATAGCATAGAATGTGCTGAAGCCAATCCTCCTTTCAAATTATATGGCAACTCTTCTGAAGCCAATCCTCCTTTCAAATTATATGGCATATATTGTTGATTTTGTTATGAGTGGTTGTATTTAGCAACTTCAAAACCTGTACATGGTGTGAAATGGTATCTTCATATAATACTATTCTATAGGTGCTGTGAAAGAATGTGACATAGCTTTTATCCCAAGTGTGCTCAGTGGTGAAAATCTAATCAAGGATCCCAACCAAGTGAACACGCAAAACAGTATAAAGGATTGCATTTATTGGAACAAATTGATTCCTTCGAGCCTCCTAAAAGATCTATTGGTAAGTCTTTTAGCTCATATGTATCATTGTTTTCAAAGATAAAGGATCTGGATTTTGTGTAATTGATAAAATTGAGGCTGGTTATATACAAATTGGTGACCGACTACTAGCAATACCTACTAATGAAAACTGCACTGCAAAAGACATCACTCTATGTGATGAACCTGTCAACTGGGCAGAAGCAAATGATGATGTTTACCTGATGTTGATTGGGATGGATATCATCAAAATTACAAAAAAAAATTCAGTGGTTCCAAAGAAGCCACTAAAGCTTACACTTGTTTCAGAACCCAAATCTTCATCTTTAATAATGATTAATACTAAATAATTTCCTATGCCACTACACACCAAACTGCTGTTATTAAACAACTGATTAGCATCTCAAAAGCATGGGTGAAGTCACAAAGAAAAAAGCCTAAATTTTGACTAAATGCCACAATGTGTTGGTATAGCTATCAACACAAAGATTAATCATGTTTTAGCTCTAAAAGACTTTAAAAGATTATGCTGTGTTACAGTGGCTCTATGATAGCTGCTGGTCTGGTCAACGAATCTAAAGAAGGATGGGTCACTTTCAAAGCTCCAATGGCATTTTTCAAAAAGTAGAATAAACATCATTGAAACTCATGTGGAGCCACAAAAGAACCAGAAAAGCCTAAACAATCCTGATGAAAAGGAGAATGCCAAAACTATACTACAAAGCTCTATATTCAAAACAGGAATAAAAACAGACACACAAACCAATGGAATAGAATTGAGTAGAGAAATAAAGCCACACATTTATGGACAGACAATCTATAACAAAGGAGCCAATTGTATACAATGGAGAAAAGAGGGTAACTTCAACAAATGGTGTTGAGAACACTCGACAGTCATATACAAAGATTAACTCAGAGTGGAATAAAGACATGGATGTAAAGAACCAAAACTATAAAATACATTGAAGAAAACATGCACAAAACACTACACTTGCTTCTTTGCAGTCTTTGCAGACTGGCCTCCAACAGATAGAGAAACAAAAGGAAAAAGAAACAAGTGGGACTATATCAAATTAAAAAGAAAAAGAAATTATAGATAAAACAAAAAGAAATACAACTGAATGAGAGAAAATATCTGTACATTATGTATCTGGCAAAGGACAGATATAAAAGATCTACAAAGAACATACACAACTCAATAAAAAGAAAACAACCCAAATGAAAAGTATATAGATGAGCTCACAGACATTTCATCAAAGAAAACATACAGTGGTTCCACAGGCACATGAAAAAAAATGTTCGTCATCAGGTAACATCAGGAAGATACAAATCAAAACTACAATGAAATTACCACCTCACATCTGTAAGAATGGCCCATATCAAAAATACAAAAAACAAGAAGTGTTGGTGAGGAAGTTGTCAAAAGAAACCCTCTTACACTGTTGGTGGGAATGCAGACTCCAGCCCCTGATGGAAAACAGCAAGGCACTTTCTAAAAATATTTAAAATAGATCTATCATATTTCACTTCTTGGTATCTACTTGAAAAGTGCAAAAACACTAACGCAAAAGGATATAAGCTCTGATGTTCACTGTAGCACTATGTGCAATAGTCATGTTATGGAAACAACCTAAATTCTCAAGGACAGAGAAGTGGAATAGAAAAATGGCATATAGGTCCTCGCTGGTGGTGCAGTGGGTTGAGCACCATGCTATGAAGCTGTCTGCGGCCTCTGCAGCACGCGTTCAATTCCCGGCTGGGGAGATACCCACATGGCACGGCAGACCTCTCCTGTCTCACCTGCTGCTCCCCTCAGCAGTACGCTTCGGTTGGTCTGCCTGTTCTGCTCCCCTCTCTGTCTCTGGTGAATCCTCTCACCCTCCATGGCTCTGGCCTGTACCCCAGTTCTTGTATGCATAAAATAAATCTTCAAAAAAAAGAAAATGGCATATATTCACAATGGAATACTACTTGGCTATAAAAAAGGAGTTCATTTGTCATTTGTGACAACATGGATGAAACTGAAGGGGAGTAAGCTAAATGAGATAAGTTAGGAGAATGGCAAATACCAGATGGCTTCACTTATACAGAGAGAAAACAAAGGGTCAGACAAAACCAAACTAATAAAAAAACCTGAGAAAGCTGACAAAGTGAGGCTACAAGATAGGGAGGTGGGAGGGGAAAACAAAGTGGAGAGGCGGCACAAAGGACTTTGGTGGAGG